CCAAATCGGTGCTTAATGGACTCAATCATCGTTGGAGAATAGCCTCAAGACGAATCCGTGATCTGTAGCCTTCAATATCCAAAGAAAATGGCATTTCGTCGCCCATCAAATTAGGAAAATGCCATCCGAAAATAAATTGGCCCAAATCGATGCTTAATGGACTTATCATTCGTGGAGAATAGGAACAATAGACTTCATTATCGGTGAATAATATCCTCTTCCTGATTCTGTGATCTGTAGCATCCAGAATCGAAAGAAAATGGCATTTCGGATAAATCGCCAGAAATCATTGATGGTACCCCTTTGGAATCTGCCAAAAACTGACCCTGAATAAATCCGCCCAAATCGGTGCTTAATGGACTCAATCATCGTTGGAGAATAGCCTCAGGCCGAATCCGTGATCTGTAGCCTTCAATATCCAAAGAAAATGGCATTTCGTCGCCCAAGAAATTACGAAAATGCCATCCGAAAGTAAATGTGCCCAAATCGATGCTTAACGAACTTATCATCCGTGGAGAATAGGATCAATAGACTTCATTATCGGTGAAGAATAGCCCCGGCCTGATTCAGTGATCTGTAGCATCCAGAATCGAAAGATAATCGCATTTCGGATAAATAGCCCGAAATCTGTGATGGTACCTCTTTGGAATCTGCCAAAAATTGACTAGGATTAAATCCGCCCTAATCGGTGCTTCATAGACTAAATAATAATTTAAGAATAGCCTAATTTCGTATCCCTGATCTGTAGCCTTCAAAATCGAAGGAAAATGTCCTTTCGTCTCCCATAAAATTACGAAAAATGCCATCCGAAAATAAATTTGCCCAAAATAGATGCTTAATGGACTAATCATCGGTGCAGCATAGGTTCAATAGACTTCATTATCGGTGGAGAATAGGCTTTCCTGAATTCGTGATCTGTGGCCTTGAAAATCGAAAGAAAATGGCCTTTCGTCGCCCAAAAAATAACAAAAATGCCATCCGAAAATAAATTTGCCCAAATCGGTGCTTAAAGGACATATCATACGTGGAGAATAGGATCAAAAGACTTAATTATCTGAGGAGAATAGCATCGGCCTGATTTCATGATCTCTAGACTCCAAAATTGAACGAAAATGGCATTTCGGAAAAATCTCTCGAAATCTTAGATGGTACCCCTTTGGAATCTGCCAAAAATTGATCCGGAATAAATCCGCCCAAATCGGTGCTTAATGGACTTAATCATCCTTGAAGAATAGCCTGAGGCCGAATCCGTGATCTGTAGCCTACAAAATCCAAAGAAAATGGCTTTTCGTCGCCCAAAAAATTACGAAAATGTCATCCCAAAATAAATTGGCCTGAATCGGTATTTAATAGACTTATCATCAATGGAGAATAGGATCAATAGATTTCATTATCATGGAGAAAAGCCTTGGCCTTATTCTGTGATTTGCAGCCTCAAGAATCGAAAGAAAATGGCATTTCGGAAAAATTGCCCGAAATCTGTGATGGTACCCCTTTGGAATATGCTAAAAATTTACCCAGAATAAATCCGCCCAAATCGGTGCTTAATGGACTTAATCATCGTTGAAGAATAGCCTCAGGCCGAATCTGTGATCTGTAGCCTTCAAAATCCAAAAAAATGGCATTTCGTCGCCCAAAAAATTATAAAAATACCATCCAAAAATAAATTGGCCCAAATCGGTGCTTAATGGACATATCATACGTGGAGAAGAGGATCAATAGACTTCATTGTCGGTGGAGAATAACCTCGTCCTAATTCTGTGATATGCAACCTCCAAAATCGAAAGAAATCACCTGAAATCTGTGACGGTACCCTTTGGAATTTGCGAAAAATTGACCCGGAATAAATCTGTCCAAATCGGTGCTTAATGGACTTAATCATCTTTGAAAAATAGCCTCAGGCCTAATCCATGATCTGTAGCCTTCTAAATCCAAAGAAAATAGCCTTTCGTCACCCAAAAAATTACGAAAATGTCATCTGAAAATAAATTGGCACAAATCGGTGCTTAATGGACTTATCGCCCGTGGAGAATAGGATCAATAGACTTCATTATCAGTGGAGAATAGCCTCGGCTTAATCGAAAGAAAATGGCATTTCGAAAAAATCGCATGAAATCTGTGATGGTACGCCTTAGGAATCTGCCAAAAATTGACCTGGAATAAATCCGCTCAAATCGTTGCTTAGTGGACTAAATCATCGTTGTAGAATAGCTTAGGCCGAATACGTGATCTGTAGCCTTCAAAATTCAAAGAAAATGGCCTTTCGTCGATAAAAAAAATACGAAAATGCCATCCGAAAATAAATTGGCCCAAATCGCTGCTTAATGGACTTATCATCCGTGGAGAATAGGATCAATAGATTTCATTATCGATGGAGAATAGCCTCGGCCTGATTCCGTGATCTTCAGCCTCAAGAATCGAAAGAAAATAGCATTTCGGAAAAATCGTCTGAAATCTGTGATGGTATCCCCTTTGGGATCTGCCAAAAATTGACTCGGAATAAATCTGACCAAATTGGTGCATTATGGACTTAATCATCGTCTAAGAGTAGGCTCAGGCCGAATCCGTGATCTGTAGCGTTCAAAATCCAAAAATAAATGGCCTTTCGTCGCCCAAAAAATTATGAAAATGTCATCCCAAAATAAATTGGCCCAAATCGTGGCTTAATGGACTTATCATCCGTGGAGAATAGTGTCAAAAGACTTCTTTATCGGTGGAGAATAGCCTCGGCCTTATTCCGTGATTTGCAGCATCTAGAATTGAGAAAAAATGGCATTTCGGAAAAATCGCCTGAAATCTGTGATGATACCCCTTTGGAATCTGCCAAAATTTATCCAGAATAAATCCGACCAAATCGGTGCTTAATGGACTTAATCATCGTTGAAGAATTGCCTCAGGACGAATCTGTGATCTGTAGCCTTCAAAATCCAAAGAAAATGGCCTTTCGTCGCCCAAAAAATTAAGAAAATGTCATCCGAAAATAAATTGGCCCAAATCAGTGCTTAATGGACTTATCATTCGTTGAGAATAGGATCAATAGACTTCATTTTCGGTGGAGAACACCCTCGGCCTGATTCAGTGATCAGCAGCCTTCAAAATCGAAAGAAAATTGCATTTCGGAAATATCGCCTGAAATCTGTGATGGACTTTTGAATATGCCAAAAAATTGACCCTTAATAAATCCTCCCAAATCTTTGCTTAATGGACTTACTCATCGTTGAAGAGTAGCCTCAGGCCGAATCTGTGATCTGTAGCCTTCAAAATCCAAAGAATATGGTCTTTCGTCGGCCAAAAAAGTACGAAAATGTCATCCAAAAATAAATTGGCACAAATCAGTGCTCAATGGACTTATCATCCGTGGAGAATAAGATCAATCGACTTCATTATCGGTGGAGAATAGCCTCGTCCTGATTCAGTGATATGCAGCCTCCAGAATCGAAAGAAAATGGCATTTCGGAAAAATCGCCCGAAATCTGTGATGTTACCCCCTTTGGAATATGCCAAAAATTGACCCGGAATAAATCCGCCCTAATTGGTGCTTAATGGACTTAATCATCGTTGAAGAATAGCCTCAGGCCGAATCCGTGATCTGTAGCCTTGAAAATCCAACGAAAATGGCCTTTCGTCGCCCTAAAAATTACGAAAACGTCATCCAAAAATAAATTGGCCCAAATCGGTGCTTAATGGACTTATCATCTGTTGAGAATTGGATCAATAGACTTCATTATCAGTGGAGAATAGCCTCGGCCTGATTTCGTGATCTGCAACCTCCAGAATAGAAAGAAAATGGCATTTCGGAAAAATTGCCCGAAATTTGTGATGGTACCCCTTTGGAATCTGCCAAAAATTGACCCGGATTAAATCCGCCCTAATCGGTGCTTAATAGACTTAATAATAGTTTAAAAATAGCCTCATTTCGTATCCGTGATCTGTAGCCTTTAAAATCGAAGGAAAATGTCCTTTCATCTCCCATAAAATTACGAAAAATGTCATCCGAAAATAAATTTGTCCAAATAGTTGCTTAATGGACTAATCATCGGTGCAGCATAGGATCAATAGACTTCATTAGCTGTGGAGAATAGCCTCGGCCCGATTTCATGATCTGCAGCCTCCATAATCGAAAGATAATCGCATTTCGGAAAAATCGCCCGAAATCTTTAATGGTACCCCTTTGGAATCTGCCAAAAATGGACCCGAAAGAAATCCGCCCAATTCGATGCTTAATGGACTTAATCATCTTTTAAGAATAGCCGCAGGCTGTGTCCGTGATCTGTAACCTTCAAAATCCAAGGAATATGTCCTTTCGTCGCCCAAAAAATTATGAAAATGTCATCCAAAAATAAATTTGCCCAAATAGATGCTTAATGGATTAATCATCGGTGCAAAATAGGATCAATAGACTTCATTATCTGTGGAGAATAGCCTCGGCTCGAATTCGAATTCGTGAATAGCCTCGGAAAAATCGCCCGAAATCTATAATGGGTACCCCTTTGAAATTTGCCAAAAATAGACCCGGAAGAAATCCGCCCAATTCGGTGCTTAATGGACTTAATCATCTTTTAAGAATAGCCTCATGCCGTATCCGTGATCTGTAGCTTTCAAAATTCAAGGAAAATTTCATTTCTTCGAAAAATTACGAAAAAGCCATTCAAAAATAAATTGGTCCAAATAGGTGTTTAATAGACTAATCATCGATGGAGAACAGGATCAATAAACTTCATTATCGGTGGAGAATAGCCTCGGCCTGAATCCGTGATCTATAGGCTGTAGTCTTCAAAATCCGAGAAAAATTGTTAAAAATTATGAAAATGCTCTATGAAAAAATACGCTCAAATCAATGATTAATAAATTTTATCATTAGTGAAGTATAGTCTCAGACCGAATCTGTGATATATAGCCTTTAAAATCGAAGGAAAATTGTCTATTTGAACGTTCAATTCTATTTGAACACAAAACTCAATCTTTACCAAACATGAGAATTTTAACAGGATTTTCCTTGAAATTTAACAATCGTTTGTATTAAAAAACTCCTTTTGGAAGCTCACAATAAGCTTTCCTTACAAAGCCACAACATTTTCCTCCCCCCAAATCTCAATCCTAACCGATGAAGAGGGAAGAAATCGACTTGTATTCCTTAACCAGTCATTTCTTCCCCTCTCATAATTTGTTCATCTACCAAACAAACTATCCGAAGCATCGACCATGGAATTCGAATCCACCTGGAAAAATGAAACCGTTTGTTACACTCTCCCACCGCTCATCAATGCAGAAAATTTTGGAGATGAAATCAGCATCGTGGAAGATGTGTTTTCAGCTTCGTTGTCGCTCCTCAACATCCAAATCTTCCTCATCTACGTTATAAGCAACTCCCTCAATAAGATTCTCAAGCGTTTCAGCATTCCCTCCTTCGTGTCTCAGCTCCTGGTAAGGAAATCATCCTGAATAACACCACCACCTTTTAGTACATGTGTGAAAAAGTTTTCAAATGTATACCGATCTCAACCTCGAATCGCGATGTTTTTCCATCTCCACACGTAGATCGATTACTAACTTTTGTTTTTTCCAATCATTTTTTTACGAATCTGATTCAGACTGGTATCATCCTGGGGCCGACCTTCCTCAGAAAGAACGATTTTGTCAAGAACCAGTTGTTCCCACGACACTCACACGAAGCCCTAGACGTGGTCGGCATGATCGGATACTTCACCTTCATGTTCCTGTCGGCAGTAAAAATGGACGTGGCGATGGTGATCCGGTCCGGTAAAAAAGTGATGACCATTGGGCTAGCCTCCACGATCATCCCTTTCGCCGTCGGCCTGCTCTTCCAACGGCAGCAGATCGCCGAAGCGGACGACAAACTCACCGTAAACAGCATCGTCGGGATCACCAGCATCCAGTCCCTCACCACCTTCCCCGTCGTCTCCCAGGTCCTCGAGGAGCTCAAGCTGACCAACTCCGAGATCGGCCGGCTGGCCCTCTCCTCGTCGCTCGTCTCCGGCCTGTTGGGCGCCCTCATCGACCTCGTCGGGAAGGCCTTCTCCATGCACCTCGAGGTCGCGAAGCGGCTGCGCAACCTCCTCGTCGCCTCCCTCTCCATCGCCGTCGCGGTGTTCGTCTTCCGCCCGGCGATGGTTTGGGTCGTGAAGCGGACGCCTCAAGGTCAGTAGGCGTCCAGAAAGTACCTGTGTCCTCTTTTCATAATACAAATTATACAAAACAAAATAAACTGGGTAGTTTTACAGTATCCAAGATGAAATTTAGAGTATCGCATACTTTGAGTATGAAAACACTATTTAGACCATGAATTGATTGATCTTTCCGACATAATACTATACTTTAATCCTTAAAGATAAAAATCTAGATCTTAGTTCTCTAAATCTTATACTCCAAGATCAATTTAATTAGAATAATAAACGACGGTTATGATTCGTCCCAATAAAGGCAAAAAATGAATGCACTCTCTTAGAGTTTATAGTTTATGATCTAGATAATTAGGAATTAGGGTTCACTCATTAAGAATTAGAGTATAGTCTCAAGTCCAAAAATCCTGCTAATTCGAGGTCTACATAGCATTTCCATACTCAAAATATGTGGTACCCTGGATTTCACGCGGAGTACCGTATAAGGCATCAACCGAAACTATTAATATTCAAATATTTATTGACAGATAACAAAAAAAAATAATTAACTGATACAATCATTGTTTCCATAAATAACCACGACGCGATGTTTTCATAATGAAAAGCAAAATATATTCATTGTGCACGACATATGTGTCACCAAAACTTACATGTGTCGCTTATATATATACTCAAGGTGGCAGCGTGAAGGCGGCTTACGTGTTCGTAACCCTAGCCGTGGCGACGTCGTACGTGATCCTCTTCGACGAACTGAGGCTGGCTTTCATCGTCGGCGCCTTCATCTTCGGCCTCATCGTCCCTCCCGGCCCGCCGTTCGGCTCCTCGCTGGTCGAAACCCTGGAGACCGTACCTCAGGCGCTCTTCTTCCCGGTCTTCGTCGCCACCACGGCCATGAAGGCCGACCTCACGACCGTGTTCGGACCGTTCGACAACCGAGGGTTCTTCACCGCCTTGATCTACTGGAGCGCCATCGAGAAGTTCATCGCGTGCTTGCTGCTCGCCCTGCCGTGGATGCCGCTCCTCGACTCCGTCGTGCTCTCCCTCGTCTTGAACTCCAAAGGCGTGGTGGAAGCCTCCATCCATGCGTACCAGAGGGACACGCAGATGATGGGGCTGCAACTCTACTCGCTGTTCCTCCTCTCCATCTTGGTCAACGCCACGGTCATCCCGGTCCTCGTCAGCATCCTCTACGAGCCGTCGAGGAGGTACGTCGTAACTGTGTTAGTACTTGAAAGACTGACTTCTATAATAACCTTAACAATAATTCTATAATAACCTTAACAATAATATACGGATAGGTTTGAAATTTTGCCCTTATCCACCTCTAACCGCCCTCTTAAGGTCAAGATATATAACTGACCCGTCCTGTCCATGTAGGATCGATGGGGGTCAGAGAGGGTCGGATCAGTGAGTCGGTTGACCCTATTTCACATACTAATTTTTACAAAATCACATTTTGATACCCAAATATATATTCCTTACAATTCAGTACCTAAAACTATTTTTTTTTTACAAATAAGTCCATAAATGTTGTTGGTAAATTATGTTTCGGTACCAAATTTATCTTTTTAATAATTTATTACCTAAACTTTTAAGAGTTTACAAACAGGTCTGATATGTTGTATGAGAAATTTCATTTCACTACCCAGTTGTTGCTAAGAGTCATAGGTACGGTTCACTTTGTGAATCGACTCCCTACTTCGGCCTTACAGGGTCAAAAAATGCGCCGACCTTGAACTAACTTGTATACAAACCAACCCAACCCGATCCTCTGGATTGGGGCACGCGTCTCTCATAATATAACACAATATTACTCGTACTAATTAACTCATGCTCGCTAATCAGGTACGCGGGGTACCACTCGAGGAACATCTTCGCGCTGAGGCCGGTGAGCGAGCTTCGAGTCCTGGCGTGCGTCCACAAGCCGCACCACGTGGCGTCGACGATGAAGCTGCTCGACACGCTCTGCCGGACGGAGGAGAGCGCCGTCGCGCTCTACGTCATCCACCTCCTCGAGCAGATCGGCCACGCGACGCCGATCTTCATCACGCACCAGAAGCAGAAGAAGTCGGAGAGCTCGGACTCCTCGTACTCGCACGACGTCGTCGTGGCGTTCGATCAGTACGAGAGGAACAACATGGGGTGCACGTCGGCGCAGATCTTCACGTCGATTTCCCATGCAAAGTTCATGCAGGAGGATGTTTTTACGTTGGCACTCGACAAGCTCACTTCCATCATACTTGTTCCTTTCCACCGGAAGTGGGGGATCGACGGGAGGATCGAGTCCGAAGACAACGTCCTCAGGGCTCTGAATTACAGGTATGTATCGTCATAAACCGATTAGTTTCAATAATTCGGGTTTCCTTATACGCTCCATCAAACGAAAGAAAACTCATACAGCAGGTTTGAAGCATGCACAAACTTATTATCATGTGTTTTAAAGACAAACGGTTAATATTGAGGGTAATCAATTAGTCGTCAGAGGACCTGAACACGCGTGGCCTGAAAGACAAACCGACTCTGATACCGCATGTCAATGAGTCACTGGGAACCAGCTAATTCTTGACATGGATATTAGAGCTGGTTTTTGTCTTTGAGATGATCACAAGTTCAGGTCCCGACGATCAGCAATGTTGATCGTTGTTTTTAGGACACATGGTATGGTGGCCACGTGTGCAGATTTCAAATTCACGAGTTTGCTTTCGCTTGAGAGAAGACGTGTAAAGAAGTGGTTAAAAGCACTATACGGTTGACCTCTTCCAACAACTCGAGTTATTTGAACCAGTTGATTTATGACATAACGTTTGTTTCCTAACGTTACAAAGTCTGTATCCATACCTAAAATTGAAACGTTAAATACGACTTCAATTTGTCGCGATTCATTGCAGGATTCTGGACACCGCACCCTGCTCGGTCGGCATACTCTACGACCGCGGCAGTCGGAAAGCGACTGCCGCGATCGAGGTCGTGCCGCTCGACAGCGAAACCGCGCCGTCCGAGTCGGCGTCGTGCTCGATCTGCGCGATCTACCTCGGCGGCCGCGACGACCGGGAGGCCATAAGCCTGGCCAAGAGAATGGCGAACGACCCCTCCGTCCACCTCACCATACTCCATCTGGTCAGCCAACAAAAACTCGCCGCCGCCGCCGCCGGCGGCGAGGCGGTGCTCGACGACGAGGTGGTTTTAAACGGCGTGCTGAGAGAGATGTCCAACTTTCTGAACGTGCAGTGCTTGGAGAGAGTGGTGAGGGACGGGACGGAGACGGCGAGCTTGATCGCTGCGGTGGCGGATCAGTACGACGTTTTCGTCGTCGGGAGGCGGTGGCACGTGGAGGTGGAGTCGCCGCAGACGGCGGGGCTGGCGGATTGGAGCGAGTTTCCGGAGCTTGGGGTGATTGGGGATCTGTTGGCGTCGAAGGATGTGAGGACCAGAGGGTCTGTTTTGGTGGTGCAGCAGCAGAGGCAGCGGAAGTAGGGAGTGAAATGGCAAAAGTTGTTGCCACCAAACAATGTGTATATTGGGGGTTTTTTGATAGTTTTAGGTGGTTTGTAGTTGGTAAAGCTTTGTAGAATATTAGCAATATTGATGATCAATGATTGTAGAGCATGTGTAAATTAATCACTTATGAGTTGATTTATGATATAATATTAAAGTTTTTAGTGGCCAAAAAAGTTTTGTGTTTGAATATGAAGACCTCCAATGTTATGTATATGATATTCCAACATGTAGCAATTTCAAACTCATGAATTGGTTTTTGTGTTGAGGTTTGTGTCGGTAAATGATATTTGTTCCATGACCCTTATCATCGACAATGCTCTCAATGTCATGATTCAACATCTCCCTAAAGTAAACACATATGAGAAAAGACAACACACAACGATGTTAGATGATATCTCTGATCGGTTGGTTGATCGGGACTAATTCATTAGAGAACTACTAGGGTATTGCAGGAGACACAAGGATTTTTTTGCATGTGAATCGGCTTCGAAAAACTTCGTTGTTGTATGTCCAACTACATGAGCAGACTGACCAAGACTCAATAGGGAGTAGATCCTGTCAATAACTCATTTTTGCATAACCATCAGTAACCCCCATCAAACGTTAATGAGAGACATATAACTTTTCCCCCAATCAATTTTAACGGGTTATATCTTTTTTTTGTTTTAAAGTCTTTGATTTCATTGCACAGGTCAGGGATATCAGATTAATTGTGTTCTTCAAAATACCATCAACTTTGATAAGGAGACATATATTATCTGTTTATAGTATACCATGGTACTTCTTGATAGTACATAAGATTATACCATGGTGGTATGGAAGTGTACTATGAGTCTATGACGATATGAATATATCATAGTGTAGAATTGTTGTATACGTGATAGTTGGAATATATGAATCATCAATTTACCATAGTTAATCACTATTTAACATCAATCACCATCCTATATCAGGGTGATATAAGGTGGTATATTTGGTCATGATATTTTTCCACGGAAATTTATATACATGTCACAATAGATCACGATGACCCATTTCTGTGCAAAATATTTCAAGATTTGAGTTAAAATGAAGATTGTACAAAGTGGTATTAAGTGATACCATGATGATAACGAGTGGTACAAAAGAAAATAGTAAAATTGATATCACACTGTATTCTAAGGGTTTTTTTTTGTTATTTCGAATTAAAACAAAGAAAATACAAGCCGATTATGAAAAGTAGGTAAAATAAAACCTCTTAAATCTCGTATCACAAAAGATTAAGGGGTCATATCTGGTTTGCACTTGACCGCCCAATATGCTCAATGGCAAACTCTTACCAGTTATAACGTCCAGAAAGATACCTTACACGATTGACGATCCATTCGATAAAGAGAGGATATAAAACAGAGAGGAAAGAACCAAGTTACCTAAAAACTGTAACAGGAAACTGCTTCTTGCTCTTTCTGTACTTCCGTTAGCAACTGAAACCTGCATCCCAACATCAATAGATCAGGTGTAAGTTGTTTTTCGACGAACAGATGAAAAGAAACTCAGCTTGGCATCTCAGCAAATACACCAAATTCTATCAAATCAAACTCCCACCCCGAAGCAGAAATTGTTTCTCTCCGTTCTGGAAAACCACCGCAAAGTTCATATCCACAACCGCACACCAAACACCATGAAGACAATGCGGTGAAAGGATATAATCATCTATATCCTTCAATCCGCATTCTTCTTCGTGGGTCTCAAATTCAATCAAAAAAAAAATCCCCTGCCTCTTCCAATTATTAGCTAAAGGCAGCAGCTTTTTCATAAACAACAACAATGTCGTCGTTGGTTCGAAGCAACACGACGTGGGTGGTGGAAGAGGTCTGCTACGCCTTCCCTCCCAGGGTTCGCTCCGGCGGAGTTTTCATCAACCAGGGGCCTTCCCCTCTCGAAAATCTTCTCTCGGCCTCGGTCACTCTCCTCAACGTCCAGGTCCTGCTCATCCTCTGCCTCTGCAACGCCCTGCATTTCCTCTTTCGCAATCTAGGCATAATCCCCTTCGCCACACAGTGCCTGGTACGTTTGTACATGAACAGACTTGTAACTCTTTCGTGATATTGTGCAACTGAGACGAATGGCATCGCCTGCGATTCACCTGCTGACCGTAGTTTTTTGCTTTGTGGGGAGCAGGCAGGGGTGATTTTAGGGCCGACGCTTCTGGGGAAATGGGATTACTACAAGAAAGTATTTTTCCCTCACCCGAGTCAGAACTCGCTGGGGGCGCTCGCGATGACAGGATACTCGTTCTTCATGTTCATGATCGGGGTCAAGACCGACGTGGGAATGCTGATTCGCTCCGGGAGAAAGACCATGATCATCGGCATAGCATCCGTGCTGGTCCCTTGCATCATCGGCCTAGCCTTCCAGACAGGCCGATTGCTCGTGGTCCAGGGACTAATGGAGAAGATGGAGATCATCGGCTTCACCGCGCTCCAAGCCACGACAACATTTCCCGTGGTTTCCCACCTCCTGATCGAGCTCAAGCTCACCAATTCCGAGCTGGGCAGGCTGGCTCTGTCCTCGTCGCTCATCTCCGGTCTGCTGGCAGCTTGTCTCGAGCTCAGCACGATCCTCGCCACCGAGAAGCACGGGCCGATGAAGGTGGCATTGACAGTTCTGTTGGGTCTGTTCGCGGCATTGGTCCTGCGCCCGGCAATGCTGTGGGTGATTAAGCAGACTCCTCAGGGGAAGAAGCTTCATTCCTCGTGTGTTCCAATCATGGTGGCGGTTGCATTTCTGTACCAGATTGCGTTTGATGCTCTGAGGCAGTCTCAAGCATTGGGGCCTTTCATCCTTGGGTTGGCTGTTCCGTCGGGTCCCCCATTGGGCTCCGCGGTGATCGAGACCCTCGAGGTGGTAACCAACTCCATCATGTTCCCGGTGTTTGTAGCCACATGTGCAATGAGGGGAGATCTCTATACTATGGTGACAATGGGGTTCAGCAACAGAGGATACTACGCGAGGGCGATACTGGCTTCGCTCTTCGTCAAGTTTCTCTCCTGCTTGTTGCTGTCTCTGCCTTGGATGCCTCGGGCTGACTCTGCTGTTCTTGCTCTCATCATGTGCTCCAAAGGCATCTACGAGCTCAGCGTGTTTGCTGTCCAGAGGGATACCCAGGCCATAAATGAATCATTATTCTCCTTGTGTCTCGGCTATATCATTCTAAACTCCGCCATTATCCCAATCATTGTGAAGTACCTGTACGATCCATCGAGGAAGTATGTGGGTTATCAGGCAAGGAATCTGTTCAGCTTGAGGCCTAACACTGAGCTCAGGGTTCTTACCTGCATTCACAAGCCTCATCACGTTGGATATATGATCAACTTGCTGGATATTATATGTCCAACTGAAGAGAACCCCATAGGAGTCTATGCTCTTCACTTGGTCGAGCTCGTGGGTCGAGCCACGCCTATGCTTATATCTCACCAGAAGCAGAAGGCAGTTTCCGACAACTGCTCGATTGAGGTCATACTCGCTTTCAATCAGTACGAGAGGAGGACGTATGGCCTCACGTCCGTCAACACGTTCACCTCGATCTCCCAACCAAAGTTCATGCACGACGACATATGCACTCTTGCTCTCGATAAATCCACCATTCTTCTGCTGACCCCATTTCACATCACGTGGGCCCTCGATGGAAGTATTGAATCGGAAGATAACACCATGAGGGCTCTGAACTCCAGGGTTTTGGAAAGAGCTCCCTGCTCTGTGGGAATCTACTTCAACCGTGGGAATGTCAGGGTTTATGATGGTGCAGCAGCGCCAAGAAGTTCTGATGCTTCATCTTCGTTCTCGTCTGCCTACTCGGTATGTGTACTGTACTTGGGTGGAAGAGATGATCACGAGGCACTGTGTTTGGCTACCCGCATGGCTAGAGACTCGGGCCTGGAGCTCACCATTCACCATCTAGTCTCCAAGGAGGACACTAACACAACAAACAGGTTGTCACATGAGAGAATGATTGATGAAGTGGTGTTGAAGGAAGCTCTGCAGAAAGTTTCGAACTTACCAAATGTGAAGTACATCGAACAAGTCGTGGAAGATGGACCTCAAACTGCAATGGCGGTTAGAGCGATTTCCAGCAATCATGATTTGTTTGTGGTCGGGAGACGAGTTGGGGTGGATTCACCTCAAACGACCGGACTAGCTGAATGGAGTGAGTTCCCAGAACTAGGAGTGATTGGAGACCTCTTGGCCTCAAAAGATGTCGAAACCAAAGCTTCTGTACTGGTAGTCCAACAGCAAAAGCAGTTCAAGTAGAAAAGAAATGAAAGTATATAAATTTATACATCTGTAATTGCTAATGAAGCCAATCCTCAATCCTCATCCATGTTTATAACATAAACATTTTTTACTTCAGCAACAGCTGCAATTGCCTAGTGCCTACTTCTCTGCCTCCCGGTTTCAGCTCACCCATTGTTGGATGCCAAAACAATATCCACACAAAACTTTCCATTCAACAAAAAAAAAAAAAAAAGAACAATCTAACATTCAACACCTAGAATGCAGGAACCACTTAGATAGAACGACCCCAAAAAAATCAAGAAAGATTCAGCAGAGCACTGGTTTTCACTTTTCAGTACTAAACATAAAAGAGGATATCCGATTAGTTATCTTCTCCAAAGAACACAATTCTCTCAGAAAATATCTATCAAAGTACATGCTAAAGCTTATGATCTCCCCTCTGTAGACTAACCACCCCCTTTTCACTCTGTTTGGTGACTCTGTAGTGGACAGCTTGAAGTATAGCTCAGTCTTGAGAGAGATGGAAACCCCCATTGGTTAACCAGTATAGCAAACTTAATGCATGCCAAGCATCGAAGGATATGCTATCGCTTGAGGACCAAACTCTGGCAACACCAACACTGAAGAGGAGAAAAAGGCATCCGAAAAGCCTCCGATAGTTAACTGTACATATGAGTCACCAGCATTATCTTCTGTCAGAACTCAGAACCATCAATTGGAACTCTGCGGGTTCACTGAATAACCTCTATCAGGACAGGGCGTGCACTCAAAACAATCAATAGTTTGCCTAATTGCATTTGAACTGGAATGTTGACAGCAAGCCATCTCAAAGAAAGTAACACAAATTTAGCATTACTTACCGCTACTACGAATGCATCAGAGTTGGAAACCTCTTTCGACTGGTTTTCAGGTGGTGAAACAGGCTACTGCTCTCCTTTTGTTCATCTTCACGCTGGTCAGAAACGCCACTACTTCTCCCCTTTCTTTTGGCTACCATTCCAAGTAGAAAAGTACTTTGGATGCCATTCTTTGAATTCCCTGCAGATTAGTAATAATACATCAGAAAACAATACTCAATTATGTACACGGAGACAGAAACATACCCAAAGCATTAACCACCAACATCTGCAGTTGTTAACTAAAAAGAAACACCTAACAACAATTTGATAAATGGTTCCTCAACGCTCCTATGATGCCAACACTTTCTTCCCGTCACCAAATTCACCACTTCCTACCATCATCTGAAGCCACTTATGGCTAATGTAGTAATGTATGATACATTATTTGAAATGCTTAAAAAATCATAATTCTCTCCATACTAAATATGGAAACAATCAGCTGATATATAGATGACATTAACCAATCAAAGTAGCCTTTCATCCACCAACCTCCACACTAAGATCCGCATCCATGTTCAGTTCCTGGGATGGGCAATTTGTTTCCATCTTTATGTTGCTTGGGAAAGGGATCGAAGAAGGCCTGGAGCAGTTCGAAGTGAGGATCATTGATCGCGGCTTTTCCTCCATCATGGTTCTCCTTGCCGCATAATTGGTTCTCTTGGCTGCCCAAATCACTGAGAGAGAGAATGGGTGCGATGCAGGAAGAACTGAAGGAAACTTGGGAACTTGAGTAATCACCAACCAGGAGATCGGAAAGACTCGGGAGAAATGTCCTTATATATACTAATTTAAGTGCTAGAGCCAGAGAGCGCACATTGAAGATGTATCAAAAAACAAGACAAGCAGCAAATTAGGAGAACTCATAAAAGCATAGAATCTGACCGTACTGAAAGTGAGAACGCATCACAAGAATCCACGACAACTCCCAAGGGCATGGATCACATAATAGCCTCCTTTCAAAGAGTTCGGCAGGATTTCACTACGTCTGTGATTCAGAGGGAAGACTGTTTTGCTTGGAGATTAAATGCAATGCCGTGCCCTTCACGATCCAGGCAGTCATCTCTGGTTGATGCTCAAATGCGCCAAAAGGATGCTGACGTCCATCCTCCAGCTGGACACCATATATAAATGGGAGTCGAAGTGAGATGAAACTTTCTGGTGGTAAAACTACTTGACTCCCAAGGGTGAACTGCAGTTTTTTTTCACGGTCTGGAACTGATGGTGGAAGACACGATTCCTGCAGGTGGAAATCAATAGATCAGAGAAATAGCTGAATAAATAAGAGAAATCAAGTCTGGGCCACAATATTAGTCATGCATTTGCATAAATGGTCAAAAATTAATAGGTAAAACAAAAAAAAAAGGACAAAGTGAACAGAAGCAACAGAGACTCTGGAAATTGTGCTTCTAAAAGTTCTCTTATTGAGTCTAGAACAGGCAAGGATACAGCTCACAGCATTACTTCACACACATTTACAGTCTGTCAATAGAATAGACGGATGAACTCATACATACCTCAAACTGGATAATAGGGCATACTGCTAAAACGATTGGAAACGTTGGTGTGACCTACAAGCAGATACCATGTGTTAGAATTTAGGGCATCAGTGGCAGTGAAACGGAAAAGAAAATGGATGCACCTCATAACTGGAAAATACTACTTGCCTTAAACCAAACAGAAACTTTGCGAACTCGCATGAAAAAAGTAATAACTGGAGTACATAGAGCACAACAGATTAAACGACGACTACTTTGAATTATCTAAAGACCACACCAAAGATATGTCTACCAGTACATATAGCAGCAAGATATTAACTTCAGTCAGACCTCAAAGCAATCTATTTTGAGAAATTCTATTACTTGTATAACAAGACACCCTTGCCACAAATGACATGGTATTTTCAATCGAACGTGGACCAGATGGCTGTCATTTATGAATCAACGAAATGATCGTGAAATTGCAACTACAAAAAGGAGACTCAACCCATGGCAATGCATCCCCCAACAATAACAGAACGTCAGGAGATCAATTTGAATGTATATGTCATTTTAAGATTTTCAAGCACCTTTCACAATTCGAAAAAATAATTGAAAACACTCAGGTTATGTGTAGAACTTTAAGAGTGACTCAACCCCATTCTTCAACTTTAACATCAAAGAAAGAACAGGACAGGTTTGTAAGAGCGCTGATGTGAAGTTGAACCCATAGCAATAAGGCAGCGGAAACGAAATAAAATCAGGGAACCGGAAAATTATCGTACCAGAAAGATCCTCTGTAGTTGAGATACTGTGCCAGCAAATTTTATCTTCGGATCCTTTTTACCCTTGGAGTGCCGGCAGTATGGACAGTTCATGAACAGCGGAATATTTCTATTCAACATTGAAAACTCACTTCCACTGTCATCAATGCTAACAGAATCAAGGTCTGTGCGAAGTTCTTTCACAAGATTAGAGTCTACTGGAGCACTTATGAACCTTTGATTACTTCGCCCACTTCCAGAACCATACGCCCTCATCTCTTTTGACCTCTCTGCATTCCTCACTTTATCTGCAGAAGCAACAGTCACGCTCCCAGAACTTCGATAAAGTTTACCACGAGAACCTTTCTTACCCAAGCTCGGCTGGCCAGTTACATTTTGACTAGAAGTTTCTACATGCGGCGTATCATGTTTCTTATGCAACGAATATGCAGAGCCTAGTTCATTGAGGTGATCTGCATTCAAAAGAAAACGATGTCCATAGGGACATTCATGCTCAAAACCAAAATAGACTTCTGCATGCTTCACAACAGGATTTGATTCAATCACCGCCCCATTATTGACATTCACAGGGACTAAATTACTTCCTATTCTCAGTATGGGGTCTCCGTCAAGACCACCAACAGAGGAGGATCCATTTGAAACTTTCAAGGATGTTGAAACCTCTTTAACTTTCTGAGATCCTTGCTCAAAAGTTGCATGAATCTGTACTATGGATGGAACTCTAGACCTATTTTGCTTGATAGATTTTTCTGAACCTGCTGCTGAAGGATGCCTCCTCTGCTGAAGTGGAGGAAACCCTGAATCTCTAGTCGATGATCCAGCCACTACCTCAGAAAATGGCTTCCTCATATTATGATTCGTAAGACCCATACCAAAGCTAATAATTTTCTCGTCAGATCTTCCATGTTCCAACTGTTTCCTTTCCATTTCAGTCCTGCTCTGGGATTCTGCAGAGTAGAGTTGTTGACCATCAATTTTCTTTTTATCGACCTCGGAATTTAGCTCCACTGGAGGTTCAACCATTGGCCTTGATACAGACTGTAGATGAAAAGCACTAGTAGAAAAATCATTTGGATTGGTCGGTTTCTCAAGCAATACAATCCACTTCGACAGAAACTTCTGTGTGGTAGAAAACCCACTCTGGATAATACCCTTAGAAGGGTCATAGTACCTACCTCCTCCAATACGAATCAAAGTCCAAGAGGATGAACGAACAGGCCCCATATCATTTGCCTGTAACTGCACCACAGGAAGCCCTTTTTCACAATCTGGAAAGCAATTTGGATCATTTGCAGATTCAAAACTAAAGGGATCGGGTCGGAGTCCACGTGAACGACCACAAGCACAAGCATGGAGAAAAAAATATCCACTAGAGTGCGTCTTTGGTTCTTCCAGTAGCTGACTAGAGCTAGAAAAATCATGTCTTCGGTGCATGCATGGTTTCCCAGTCAAACTAACGGCATCACAGAGTTGCCTGCCGGATTTCCATATGTCAGTGCACTCATCTTCGAGTCTTCTGGCAAACAGCTCCACAGCAGGGCCCCTAACCATTGAGTTAAAAGCATGCAGAGCTTTTTTCAGATGGGTTTCGTGCAGTGAAGTTGGGTAACAAGGAGGGAGCCCTCTCATATAAACATCCTTGGCAGTTGGAAGGGCTCTTTCACACCAAGATTTTGAGAATTTCGAATTCAATCCTGTAGCATTTTCTAGCAAAGATGCTGAAAAATCCATTGGATCTACCCCTCTGGAAGCAACCCCTTGTGTTTTTCTATTGCTGATTTCCATGTCATCTACAATCCCATGCTTAGCGGAGAGCAACCCATGTAACAAGTGTTGGCTGCATGATAACCATCCTTCAACAGTTGGAAGTTCAGAAGCAGAAGAAAACGACTTCCCTGAAGCAGCAGAGGCTGCAGCGGCAGCAGCAGCAACAGCAGCCATGCCAACGCCAGTGCCTGAACCATTGTTGGTAAATCCTCCTCTACCTCTAAGAATATCAGATACCCTCTGTAAAAATTCCTTTATGGATGAAATATCCTCTTTGTTTGCACTCTGATGACCATTACTTTCAACCAAGAGAGAATCTGATGTTGCTTTCCCATTCAAAACATCATCCACCATTTTGGTAGCAAAATCCAGCGATTCGCCTCCCCGGATAGTACACCTGTCAAGCAGCACAACCGCCCTCGATGCATCAAACGAAAACAAAGGTGATGAGCTTGGAACTCCTCCACCTCTAGAGCCACCAGCATGGGCTACTTCAGAACCTGAAAGAACCCTGCACTTCTTTATCAGAAATCGAATCTGTGCTTCAATAGATGACTGTGCTTTCTTCCTAACACCTCCTTCAGATTTACTAGCAGGCCGTGCTAGCACAACAACTGAACCAGACCCTTTTGATGGTAAGCTAGACCGAGGTATAGTACTCGAGTTTGAGGAATGATTAAGTTGGGAAGCCTCTGTAGTCTCCTCGACACTTGAGCTAACATTCAACCCATCTGGAAAATCATCAACGAAAACAAAGAGGATCACTGGAGTGCAATGTCCAGGGTACAACGTGCTGTAGGATCCTAAACCTGACATGAGAGAGATAGATGAAGCATTCCGACTCGTGCTTCCCTTACTTCTACCCGATGAAGAAGCAGCAGCGGAAGGTGGCCTGGAAGAACTAGAATCAGAATGAGGCCTGGATGGAAATGGCTGGGAACTTTTCGATTTGAAATACGGAACCAATGCATGCTTGGCTGCTTGCAACACCCTGAACTTACTCAAGATATGAGTATCAACCCGTGAACCCTCCAGAATGTAAACAATTGCATGACACACCTGCATTGCTAATTGAGTTATATTTCATTAGACACACCAATTGAGTTCTATCGCCTCAATTCCATAAGCACAACGCTCTGCAGGTAAAATGAGACGAACATTACTTCTGAAAGGAACCCACCTACTGCAAAAATCAAATCTTTGTTCAAATTCAAAACTTTTTCCCCCAAAAACTTCACGGTCTTAATTCAAGCACCTCTCTAAGTTGACAAGTTCCTAAGAGCAATGCCCATAACTAAAAACAGCAATGTGTTCAATCATACACACGGGAGGAAAAGAGGCAGAAAGGAACTCACAGAGAACATGAAGAGCAAACCCTGGAGATCTTCCAACTCCCCCTCATCCAGACAAGTGTCGAAACCCGGTCCGGCATCCGCCAATCCATGGACAACAGGGCATCGGGTGGAGCAAAACTGCAAGAAGAGGATTCCACGCTCTTCATCATGGTAGTAACTAATTCTCCTCCGATTGAACCATTCCCTCGATTCTTCTTCAAACAAAACCTTCGCCAAGTTGCCGGAACCGAAGGCGTTGGCGTCAAGGATCCGATTGATGAGCTGGGAGGAAAGGTGAGGGATACGGGAGACAAAACCAACTACTACTACACCAGAGGGAAAGCGAGAGTCAGGCTGCCGAGTCGGCACCGGCGGCGGCTGAGGTCCAGGCGAGATGGGAGGAAGGGGCTGAGGAGGCGGTGCACGGGAAAGCCCGGAGATTGGGTTCGGGACAGGGATAGGAACAGGTGGGCGGGAGAGAACCCGAAGGATTGGAGGATTAAGCGAATCCATAGGAGATCTCCGAGTTCATCGACAATGCAGGCCAAAAAATTTTAGGGCCGCGTTTGTTTCCTACTCGTCTTTCTTCTTCCTCTTCTTCACTTCCCAGTCTCTTGACTATGTCTTCTGGTTCGACCTACGGGTTGGGTGGGAAACACGATAAATCAACGATACGATATAGTTCCAATATAAGGAGATATACAAAATACCGTGACGATATATTGGGGAGTAAAACAGGTCAAAGCGCAAACTTCCTTTCCTTCCTCCCCTGCGGCCTGCCTGCCAAATTTTCGTATATCCACTACCTTCTCTCACTGTTCGCTTAGCAGCCACTAGAACCGCAATTCGCATTGTCATTCTATCTCTTATCTCCAGAAAAAGAAAATGCAAGCAGCTGCAGCGGCAGCCATGGCGGCTCACGCAATCCTGACAGCTTCCCCTTCGTCTTATACGCTCCTTGCCCCCGTTTCGAAACCCGTCGCCGCCCACCACCAACCACCGGCTCTCCATTCTATCTTCAATGGAGTTAAGCTCCCTCTTCGTCAGTCCATGGCTTCTCTGTCCCTAGCTGCTCCCTCCACCAAGAAGCCCCTCACCGTCGTCGCTGGCACCAAGAAGGCCGTCGCTGTTTTGAAAGGCACTTCCAGTGTCGAAGGCGTTGTCACCTTGACTCAGGAAGAGGACGGTCTGTTATTATTTTCACATCTGTTGCTAAATTTCTCTGTTTCTTTGTTGGGTCTCCTTTTCTAGCTGATGGGTACATGAGTTTGAAGTCAGAATCGGGTTTTGCTTTGATTGCCCAGAATTCGCTGAATTAGGCTTTCATCAATTTTGGTATTAGTAATTTGGATGATGAAGATGACAGCTGAATTTGGTTCATTTGCATCTGTTCCCCTCTGTTGGTACTTGGCAAGTGATTTTGAATTGGAATGGAGCTAGATAATTGAATTTGTTGAGGAAATTGCTTTCTTGGCTTCAGAAATGAATGCCATTACTGAATTTAGCTTCTTTGCAATGACACGCAACAATAGGTTATTGAGCCATCATTTTGTTTCCCTTATACTTCCCAGCAGGCCCAACAACTGTAAGTGTTCGCATCACTGGTCTCACTCCAGGGTCTCATGGTTTCCACCTGGTGAGTTGATTTTTCTGCTATGGCCGTTTGAAGATTGAGATTTCTAGTCCACATTTTCTCCCGGTCTAATCAGTTTTTTTGGATTGTTTGTTATGCAGCATGAGTACGGGGACACAACGAATGGCTGCATTTCAACAGGTTGGACCTTGAAGTATTCTTGTAAATTGTTTTGTGTGGACAAAACTGATGCTCTCTTGGTTCCCTAATTTGCAAAGTTCTGATCTTTGTTTTTTATACTCCCATCTCTGAGAAACGAATAACAGGACCACATTTCAATCCCAACGGCTTGACTCATGGTGCTCCTGAAGATGAAGTCCGACATGCGGGCGACCTGGGAAACATAGTTGCTAATGCTGATGGTATATTGCCTCTCTGATTTTCTATAGTGTTGTTTTTGTGTTATCTAAGCACTTCGATTTGTGGGCATAATCGTATGTTTGGTGACACAGGTGTAGCAGAAGCAACAATTGTGGACACACAGGTAATCGTTGGAGCTGATTCCATACCTTAGTACCCAATAGTTGGAGGCCAATGCCAAGCTTTCATCTTTTGTTTAAGACTCTATCGGGGTTGTCATTGTGATGATGGTTTGTTTTATGTTCCAATTTTCCGTGTGCTAAGTTTTAAAATCATCTCAAAATGTTAACAGATCCCTCTGAGTGGCCCTAATGCAGTAGTCGGAAGGGCTTTTGTGGTCCATGAGCTGGCGGATGATCTCGGAAAGGGTACGATCAACGCTCTCCTATTTGTTCCCTCTGAACTGCAGTCAACATACCTCTGGTTTCTGCTTTGCTTCTCTTGAGAAACGATCTTTTTTAGGTTGTACAGCTGAATGTTCGTTTCGGTTAACATGATGCTGTCTCATTTTAACTGGATGAGATTGCAAACTTGCTATTTTTTACCATGATGGCATGTTTCTAAACGACCACATAGTGTCTTATCCCATGATGTTCATGAATCTTCTTGTTGTGCTTGCTTGACATTGAAAAATACAAAATGTTTTACACTACCTGTTTGGTTATGTGTCTTGGATTTGTCAGGTGGGCATGAGCTTAGTTTGAGCACAGGAAATGCAGGAGGTAGACTTGCATGTGGTATGTATCACTTTCCAGTTCTGTTCTCAATCTCTTCTTGTTCTGCCTGATTAACTGTTCCTTGACTAACTCTTCTGAGCATATTAGGGTAGCTCATTTGTTGGTTGACTAACCATGTGTATGGTGAGTGATGATTCACTTTACTGTTTGCATGGCAGTTGCCTCTGTTCCCAAATAACATACATCTATGTCCAAAATTCGAATTCGTAAAAATTTATGGAAGAGGAAGGGATAGTGGGCTGAATTGAAAGCCTATTCACTTGCCAAAACTCTATATACCGGTAGATCGAAAAGTTTGTGGTGCGGCTATACTGAAAATGAGTAGATCCATTAGCTTGTCATTTGAAGTTTGGTAAGCAAGCCTCAAACCTTGCAACCCTCATTCATAAGGTGATTTCAAGATCAAAGACTATCTATATGATGTTCTCGGAAAACCTGACTCAGTTTTGATAGATATGGGAATCTTGAGCTGAGATGTCTTGCTCTCAATCTAGATTCGAGAATGTGAGTTGAGTACACGGCGTACTACAGTACTAGGACCTGAACTATCATGCACAAACTTTACTGTCAAATCACTTATTAATTTCTCTTAGCAGCAGCATTTCTACGTTAATGGAGTCGCTTCTGTGCCTCGCTGACCCTTGTTTGTGCATTGGCTGCTTCTGATATGTCCATCGCATTCTGTTCCCCTTTGTGGTGCAGGTGTTGTCGGCTTGACGCCTATATAATTTACAAACAAATCAAAATTCTGGAGTATGGTGACCGTGCTCATATGCCCAGTTTTTCATACTACAGGCCAATGTTGATTGTGGTTCCAAATTTAGATGTGTACTCTATGCATGTGAATGAGGAAACAGAACCAAAAAAGCTGCGATATTTCAGCCAGCAGCAATAGATACACTTGAGATGCTTGTTGGTTCGACTTCGACAGCAGCAGCTTTCTGTAATTGGATTATTCTGTAAGCAGAAAAGAGATGGAGAAGCATTGGGCCCGTTTTTTATGATTAGCTTTCCTTGAGATTTACCTAATTGCGTGTGGATTGGGCTAGAGTTTATGGCCCAAATGGATGCCCATGGAAAATGTCCATGGCGATTGGCGACCCAACAGAAGCTAAAAGCCGTAGAGCATATAGTGCTTCAAAATGAGTTGAGTTGAGTTGAGTTGAGCGGATTTTTTATCTAATTTGAGTCGAGCTCAGCTGGTTTACGATAAATAAATACCTCTGTGTAATATCCGGACGAAACCTAACCTATCATCTTTCTACTTTCATTTTCAGTTAGCTCTACACCAAGCATATAACCCCCGTTTTTCCTTTCTTGTTGTTATAATTCGAAGATAGATTATATGTCGTTAACTGAAAGTCACGGTATATGGGACCTGTATAACAATCGAAACTACTGCTTAACCTCACAAGCCAAAAAGAAATTGCAATTAGTATTTTTGGTACAAATTGATTTGTTGGGTGCAAGCCAACAAACCGATCTAATTTAGGTACACTAAACCCTCGCTCCTCCTCCCTCTCACGATCGTTAATAACAATAATAATACTAATAATGCTCCTTACTTAGTCTGAAAAAATAAACAAATGAGAATATCAACAACGTTAGTTGAATACATGCCAAAATCTCAGTTGACCAGATTCGTACGTAGCTGTTCATCTGCCGGCCGGTGGAGCAAGTGGCCGGCTTGATTGATTGAGAGTGGATTTTCACTAGCCAAAGTGTGAAACGCAGGGGAGTGGAGCAAGTGGCTGCAACAACTGATCTGATCAAAAGAAAAGAAGAAGGAATTGCTAGCTGGTTTTCTGTAGTTTAAGGCGTAATTCAGGGGTTTGGAGTTGTGGGGATGACGAAGTCATCTTTCCTACATGCACCCGCTCAAAGGTTCGGGACTGTAGTATGGCTTTTGGTGTGAAGAAAGAAAGAGGTTATACAAAAAGCGTAATGTATCGTATCGGCAGCCCGATCGGGAAAATTCCCTATTGAGGTCTAAATTTGGTGGAAGGGTTTCAGCGGTATGAAACGGTTACGTTGAATCACGATTAAACCACGATATCAGCACAAAATATCATACACCTGCTGAATTTTTTTAGGTACAATATATGATACGGTTTTACAATCCTTGATTTGTACGTAGTTTCTTGATGTGTATTATATATGGCTTTACAGATTGGACATATTCGTATCGTCAAGATGATAATATAGTCATTTGAAATCTAAATATATAGATATATGAAATAGTGCCTTGTTGCCTCAGCTAGCTAGTAAGTCAACTGTTCCACTTTTCTGGAAGTCTAACCTAATCAATAATAATAATAGATTGACCTAACTTCATAATTAAAATCACCATACTTATTACTGAGATAATTAAAAAGGTGAATTTCTGGTTTGGCTCCACTCCTAACTTCCCACGTACATTTTCCACCCAGGTTGCCCACTTTAAATTATTACTAATTCACCCAACTAATTTCTAGAAAATTAATTAAACCCAAAAAAATAGAAAGAGAAGAAGAAGAAGAAGAATCCCCCAAAGGCCAAAGACAGTTAGTTCAGTGACAGCCAAGAACAGTGAAGTAGGAGGGGAGAAGAAAGTGTGGCCTAGCTTTGCTTTTGCTTTGCTCACTCACAGCCAAGAACACTTACATTATTCTTTCATATTTGGGTTCATTGTTAGTTAGTTAGAAAGGGATAGGGCAAGGGAAAAGGGTGGGCTTAGTTGTAACTAACATGCTCTCTCATGACTTTTGTGGCTGAGAAAATTATAAAAACTAAAAAAAAAAGTCTCTGTTTTTTCTTTTTTCCTAATTTAAATGCATTTATAAAATACAATTCTAGGGTTTTGGCTTTTGCATGTGACGTGTGGGAGTGGAGTGTGTGTTAAGTTCACTAGGCTTAGTAGTAGTTGGAGTGATGAGATGAAGTGTAGTAGTGGGCAACAAACTATAAAGAAGCAAACAAAATGTACATATGGTTATTACTCATATTTCAGAAAGTGATGGCACAATACGGGGAAATGAAATAAAAATATAAGGTGGGAAATGGATAATGAATCTGTTGAGATCAATTGCCATACATCATAAACAGAGCTCTCAACTCCCTCTGTGTTTAGCTGTATTGCCAATGTCACACCTAGGGGTGGGCATCCGGTTCGGTAAATCCGAACCGAACCGAAACCGAAATCATTATATTCGGTTCGAAATTTGGAAAGGAAATGTTGATAGTTCGGAAACCAAGGTTCTTTCAACCGAACCGAGATTCCGAATTACCGACCGAAAAACCGAAATACATAAACATAAGCCCAAAACTGATCCGTTTCCCCCAATACCCTAAGCCCAAATGAAACCCACCAACTCCTTAGCCCAATCAAAACCCTAACACACTAAGCCCCCCACATACAACCCTATCCCCTCTCCCTCTCCCTCTCCCCTGCCTCTCGATTCAGCTCTCTGAACTGCCGCCGCCGCCAGCAAAAAACACGCTTCTCATCTCGAACCTCCAACCTGCCTCCCCTTCAATCCCATCGCGCCGTCGACTTCGCTTCACCGCCTCTCGCTCCCATCAAATCCAGCGGCGGCCTGAGCGGCGGAGGGACTACCGACGACGCGACCGCCCTGCCTCTCTATTCCTCTCAGTTTTCAATCTCTTGAGTCTCGAAGCTTTCTTTTCCTCCTGGATCAAATCATAGACGAAGTTACTGAATCTAGATAGAGAAAATCAAGCCAAAATCAGCATGCATGCTTGGATCTAAACCCTACTAACCTCTAACATTCGTTGTCGCCGTCCGTCACTGGGTTCTTCTCTCCGTGATTTCGTCAATCTCCATCGCCGCCTGCACTTGTGTTGCTCTCTCCATCAATCGCCGTTGCCGCCGAGTCCAACAACGCCAGGAGGAGATATCGCCGCCGAGTCCAGCAAGAAGAGGGGAAATCGCCGCCATGCTTTGTGCTCTGAGGGGAGAGAGAGAAGAAGAAAGAGAGAGAGAAGAAGAAGAAAGAATTCTTCTGCGTAATAGAAGTGGGAGAGAGAGAGGATAAGTGGGGCTGTGGGGGAGAGAATGAGGGTTTCTGGAACTTCGGTGGGGGATCAAAACGGTGGGCAGCATTTCACTTTCCAGAAGGCAGCAGACAAAACGGTGGGCAGCAGGCAAAAACGGTGTGCAGCATTGATTTCGATTTTGAACATTCGAACCGAACCGAATTACAGCTCGGTTCGAATTCGGTCGGGTCTTGGGCAGCTCAGAAATTCGGCATGTTCTGGTTCGGTTCGGTTCAAACCGAACCGACCGAACGCCCACCCCTAGTCACACCCACCTTGCCTCCTACTCGTACTATTGGAGTTCGAACACGAGAACTCCAGCAAATCGACGAAAAATCGATTGTTTTACCGTTAATGAAATCAGTATGAGGCTATATATCGCTAACACCATCAGCCTGCATCTCTGTCGTGCTATGAGATCAAATTAGTAAAGAAATTGTGCAATTATCGACTTTCATTAACTCGAGTAGTTGTGAGCGAGTTCGATCCCATTCGTGAATCTTACAGCATCACCTCATCCTCACCCTTAAAAGAAACCCAACTCATTACTCGTTAGTTAAAAACTAGTTGGTCATCATAAATCGAGAATTATTTGGCTTCAATAACTCAAATCATTGAAAATATCCGCAAAATATATCGTATGCATACGCAACCTTATCCGTTATTCCATTTTTATATGAAAAAATGGTAGATTATAGATGCTTTACTTTGTTGCAACTTCAAACCAACATGTGCACACATTGGATTGGATTTGCGTGCCCCTCGTAAACTGTGTGTGTTTGCTTTAATTGTATTGCTTACCCGGGTACAGTTCCCGGGACTTGGTGATCCAATGATGGTTGAAGCCCTGGTTCTTCGAGAGGCGATTGGCTGGTGTTTGGCAAATGGATTCACTGACGTGAGGTTTGAAGGTGATGCCTAGGTGGTAATCGAGAAGATTCTCCGGCGTGATGCTCGGGATAATCAGATAGGGGCGATTCTGGAAGAGTTGATCAATTTGTTTGCTTCGAACGTAGGGTTCACTATACGATTTGTAGGTCGTCGAAATAATAGGGTAGCTCATTTGGTAGCTAGACAGGCCCTGGCTTTGTTTCCGACTACTTGTCGTTTGTTTGATTTCCAGGCCTGGCTGTATTCCAGGATGTAATGGTCTATTGATTTCAATCTATTGATTATCTTTTGTAAAAAAAAAAAAAAATTATTGCTTACCCAATTCTCTCTAATTTCAAAATTGGATTTCTATGCCAAGAATCACACACCCACCACATTTCCCTCGCCTCTACCTATCATAAATCCTTCCTTCTAAATAACTCGAGTAACCGGGGGAAACTAAAAATATATGTAGATTATACCATTTCTTGTACATACACCCACCAAATAAAAATATGATTACTAAGGGATTCAAAATTTGCATAGACGGATATACATCGATCGTATATAAAATGATGCTTAAATCATTTGTTCTATACAGCTGACTCGCATCATTTATTAGGGATAGTGAAGTTTGATAGAGTTGTAACATGCGCACTTGGAATCAATTTGGATGAATGAATTATGGATCTCAACTAACTAAGATAGTGAGGAACATGGAGAGTGGAGTTTGGTTTAGCTAAAGCTTAATTAGCCTTTTAGGAATGGGATTAGGCAGCTATGGACAGGAGTGCCAGTAGACAACTAACTTCTTCACATTTAAGTATTTGGTATAGCTAGCTAGTGGCTGTCCAATTACTGATTTCATAATTATGTATCAGTATTTTGTTCAGAAGCAAATAATTAAGAACATGGAGGCCGATAATCACTATGGAAGAAGGAATCTGTATCTAGCACTTCATTAACATCCCATGATTACAATAAAGAAAAACAACCCAAAAAAATTCGAATCATTATAGTTCAATGATTCATGATCCTCCTTCCACACTCTGCAGACAATCATGAAGCCATGAGAGGTTCCAATTAATCTTCAATCCTATACCCCCTCTAATCAAAATCAATTAATTATATTTAATTATATAGGTTTAGTTGACAATTCCAGATTATACAAAACCAGGCTGTCTATGTTCAATCATGTACCAATCCTCACTTCATTGCTCTCAACAATGTAACAACTCCTCATCCTCCATAATTGGATAGCTACAGCCACTACTTCTGCTTGGGAACTCAATTCAATTGGTTCATTTGTTTCTGTCTATATACAGTTCATTACTTGTACAAGAAGATATGAAGAGTACCCAATGAAAGAAGTTCTTGAGGTTATTAGGGTATGGTAATTAACAATTAATTATAAGATAGCTAGGGTTACTTTTTTTGCTATTTCAACAACTTATTTACAAGCGAGAGAGCAAATTCAATATATGTGTGCAGTTATGCCGTTCATTTATGTTTCTATCTGTATCCATATATTTGACTCGATACGATTCTAGATCGGAGCGTATTATAACCATATTTGCTAAAAATGTGAACCCAATGTCTCCTATATAGTCCTAGCGATTATTAATTCCTCAGTGTAATGGCATTTTATGGCACTTATAGTTGACTGGCGTGGATGCCAAATTTTGAACCATTTCTTCACATTCCTACGGACTATTGGATTATATATAGAACTTGAGAAAGATAGGTGAGGCAAATACAAAAAGTGGCAGAAAACAATGGAAACACATATACCATTTCAAATCACATCCTAGTTAACCTAATGTCTAGAGATGAAATCCATCGATAACAAGCAATCACTATCGACAGTCGACACGATGATTTATATTAGTGCCTTGCTCGTGATTAATTAAATGCTTACAAAATCGAATCCCCAAATAATAGGAGATAAACCTCATTCCCGTTTTTTTTTTTTTTTTTGTGTAAAACCTCAATCCCATTTTACTTAAGCAGCACACAATTGAGTTTGTGTAATGAGGGATTAATCATTGATCTTCCCCCCTAAGAGCTTGATTAGAGAGAGAGAGGTGAGGTGGATCCAAAAGAAAGAAGCCTATTTAGTTTTGGAATGAAGCCAAGCAACTTTCGTTGAAGTGAACCAAAAGAAACACCTGTCACGTACCCATAGTGTAGTTGGAAAGAAAGAAAAAACCCCTTACACAAACAACCCAACCAGCTTCTTCTTCCCTTCTTTTTTGGTTGCTTTTCCTTTCTAATTCTTAATTGGGAAAACGAAAACAAAAACCTTTTTTTTTTCCTTGGCATTAACGGTAATCGGTAGCTAAGTAAGCTTGAGGTCCTTTTCTTCTCTACTAGTATATGAAGTTTCGATGAGGATCCAGCTTCATTTCGTAACCACCGTGCAACTGTGTATGAAATTCGATCGTATAGATAATGCGTGCATTACTTTAATAACGCGAATTGTATGTAGCATCAGTTCAGACTTGACATCTTAGGCTGGAGGGAGGATTAAAGCAAACACGTTTGGGGCGGGGGGAGTGGGCAGTTAGTTGGCAGGCAGCGAGCAGCAAACGTTACACGTTCTTTCTCGTTGCTTTGTTATTATGCTATTATTAATTATAATTGGTTTTGGTGATTACCTTCAATAATTACAACCAGAGTTTGGCGTATGAATGGTCACCAAGAGACGAAGAGAGAGAGAGAAAGAGAGAGAGAGAGAGAGAGAGAGAGAGAGAGAGAGAAAGATCACAGCGCTTGCTTACTGATGCAGCTTTGCTTAACTACATACCAGCTAAAGACGGTTTTGTGTGTTTCAAGGAAAAAAGTTCGTACAAAAAAAAAAAACTCATCTCTTTCGATTAACGCTGTATGGTAATGTTAGGTAATCTAGCTACTAAGTAACAACACCAAACCTTCTTTGAACTGTCCCCCAAAGAAACGATCCGAAACGGAAAAGAAACGCCCCATCCAGTTCTCACCTCACTCATTCACTCACTCGAACTCCTAACCTACTTTGTCACCACTAACCTTTAATTTCCTCCTACCTAATCTCTCCATCTCTCACCTATCAAATCTTAATTATACCATTCATTCATCATCTATATGTCCTTGGGGTTACTTAATTAATTAATCTCCCCTTTAATTAATCCCATTAATTACCCTTCCACAGGGGGAGTGACGTGGCACGGGAAGGTATGTAGAATAGAAGCGTACCGAACCTGATGTTAGATAGAGTTTAGTATATCCATCCACGCTAGTCGCTACGAATACGTATTTGTTCAATGCAGCTGTAGCGACATCGTCCATTAAAACCTGCCCGTTTTTAATGCACTTGCCACGTCGAACCTTATGGGATGGATGACGTGGAATTAAATCAAGCCTGTGAAAAGAAAGTAAACAACAAAACAATACCATATACCCTCTACTTGTTGTGAGTTGTGACTTGTGAGTAACACTTGGAAGGATGAAAACGCAAGCAAGGTCTTGCGTTTTGGAGTGTGTGAAGGGTCACATAGCTAGTCTCTCACTCTACACACACACGAGGTTTGGTGTTACCAAATTGCCCAATTTATTCCTTTTCCAACTATATACTCAATATTATCAAAATAATAATCATCATAAATAATCGCATCAGTAAGTAACAATCGCTGGAGGGCGGCGTTTTGACTCAGCACCCCAAAAATTAAAATTAAAAAAGAAAAAGCCTTTTCGGTAAACCGTACAATTAATTCATGAATTTCCTACTATATATCACCCAAAACCCAGCGCCCTTTCATCAGCAGCCAGTTTCCACTGTCATAAACTCATAATTCTTTCTTCTTAAAAAAAAAAAAAGAGAAAAAGAGAGAGAGAAAAAAAGATGGAGATGGAAGCAGCTGGGGAAGACACTCAATTCGGAGCTTCCACGAGCGATCCGACGACGACGATGATCAGAGGCAAGCGGACCAAACGCCACCGTTCCGCCTCTCCACCTCCGCTGAAATCCTCCACCTCCACCACCACGTCCAGCAATTCCGGCATCGGAGGCGGAGTGAGTCAGAGATCGGCGTCCTACGCCGCCGCCACGACGACGACGACCTCTTCCGGCAGCGCCGCGCTATACGAGAGCAGCACCGAAGAGGAAGAGGACATGGCGAATTGCCTGATTCTCTTGGCTCAGGGCCGCCGCCGCCACGTGGCCGCGCCGCCTCCGGAGCGGAAGACGATCGGGTCCAGGAGATTCTCCGACATCGCGACCACGACGAACCGGGCCGGCTTCTTCGTCTACGAGTGCAAGACTTGTAACCGCAGCTTTCCTTCCTTCCAGGCGTTGGGCGGCCACCGGGCCAGCCACAAAAGGCCCAGGCCCGCTCCGGGCCCACTCGCGACGGAGGACAAGAACGTAATTGCAGCCGGTTCGATTCCAGCCTGTCAGGTTGAGATAAGCAGCAGCACCGCCGTGGTGGTGGCGGTTGCGGCGGAGCTTCGTCATCAAAATCCAGCGATTCAATCGGCTGCCGACAGCGACAAGACGGCCGCCGCCGCGACGACGGCGGGAATTAAGTCGGCGAAAGTTCACGAGTGCGCGATTTGCGGGGCGGAGTTCGCGTCCGGCCAAGCTCTCGGCGGGCACATGAGGAGGCACAGAGCGAGCAACGCCGGCAACCAGGCGGCGACCGCGAACGCGGCGGCAACGGTTAATTGCGATGGTGATCTGAATAGCGAGCAGAGGAATCCTGCGTTGTCGCTGGATCTGAATCTACCGGCGCCGGAAGATCTCGACGCCCACCAACACCACCGCGGGGATCCGTCTCCGTCTTCGTCGAAGTTCCAGTTCGCATCGAAGGCGGCGATGGTGTTCTCAGCTCCGGCGTTGGTCGGGTGCCACTATTGATCGGAAACTGAAGAGAGAAGCCGGAGGGGGAGAAGTGTGTAAAAACTAAAAAGAAACATGGAAATGGAATTAATGTGAATTTTTTTGTGTTTTGTTTAGTTACCATTGTTGATACCCAATTTTTTTTCAGAGCTCAATATACAGCTTATACTTAGAATTCTTTCCATTCAAAGATTTTCCATTTTCACCAATTTGGTCCAATTTTTTCCCTAGTTATTATCATACAATAAAAGAAATATGAGTACAAAGTTTATTTTTCTTGTTTAGATAGTGGTTAGTCGAATAGTAGTGGTGTTCATGGTTGCCTTGTGTTCCACGAAAAGTGAGTTGGAGGATGGAGGACTTTCTTTTCTCTATAGGGCTTTTTGGGGTCAGAAGAAAATTTTGGGGATCTCTTTTCGATTCTTTTCTTGTTGGAAGAGTATTAATTGTGTAGCAAGTTAAAGCGGAAAGGAAAATACAAAAAAAAAACAATAATGACTGAAATTGGGGAAAGGATGGTAGGAGGAAGTTTGGGATCACCATTACCACAATCAAAAGTTATGGGTTAGGTTATTTCTCTACTCTGAGGAGTTTAGGTTCACAAAAAAAAAAAAAAAAAAACGTGTTTTGCTTGTTGATTGAAGCAGGTATCAAATGTACACAAATTATTGAATTACGTAACATACGAATATTGCCTAACGAATAACGTCGATAAAACGGACATTACGGTATCCAAATAAAATTTGCTAAATCGTGAAAACGAATGGTTAAATTGAATACTCATCTATGACCATCTTCTTCTGTATATGGGTGAGCAAAATCTTTACACAAAATTAAAGAGAAAAGAAAATGACGGAAAAACGGACGGAAACAAGAAAGGGCACTGAAAGTGAGAAGTGGCGGAGTGTGTAAATTACAAAAGCAAATAACAAAATTGAAAAATGCTGAGTTGGTCACTGCCCCATCCCACCTGTATCTCCCAACTTTCGGTTTTTCTTCTGCTCCAGCAAAACTATTTATCATTATTATTTATTTAAAAAGGTTTGTAAGAAACTGGAGAATTTGTGTGGCAGTGGGTGTAGTTTGCTTTCAGTTGGGAGCTGAACGGAGTAGAAGTGAGATGGACAACGATCTGGTTTAATATTGAATCGAATTGGATAAAATATATTTTGGTTTGTTTTTAATTCTAACATTGAATTTGGATTGGACTGTGTCGAATTAAATGAACCAAACGTACTTTTAATGTGATTCTGGTCCTAAATTCTCTCGTAATTTTGATCTGGTCTTATCTCAATTTGACTCAATTCTTAACCGAATCGGAAAAATGTCCACCACTAAATAAAAGGAAGTGAGAGAGGGGCCTACTATACTACTCACTCAGTTGCACCTAACTGACCAACTGGCAACTGTATCCATCATCTCTTCCTTTGCAAGTTTTTTTCTTCTTTTTCCTTCGTCTTTTTTCCTAACTAAAGAGAAAGGAAAGAAACAAAAATTAAGCAATGGAATAAGAAGGTGATGAGAAAAGTGACAACTTTACTTCATTAGATCCCATGAATTGGGTCCTTCCATCCATCCATTTACGTTCCCAACATTGATACATCTCCCACTTACCTCTCCCCCTATCCTATTCCCACTAGTTGATAACTTATTTTGAGGCCACTCGAAATTTGATTATCAGCAATCCGAATCTATTACAATAGATAAGCAAAACGAAATTATATTTTCTTGCCAGTTATAGACTTATAGTCATCGTAAGAAGTTTTCATCAAACTTTTGATCCACTCGTTATATATAAAATTAGCCGAAATCTAATCATATGATACATTACGACTCGTTTATCCAGAGACAATCATTAGTCATTTTTTGTTTTATAGAGTATTTGAGGAGAAGAGAGGTAGTAGGAAGTTTGTGGAGTGCACGTTAAAGAGTGAATGTTGGCATAATGGCATGGGAGAAAGTGGGGAAAGCATGTGATGAGGATTACACTTACATCACATTACGTGGCATGTCTAAATACTTGCTCTCTCGTTCAATCTCTCTATCAAATTTTTAATCACTCATTAATTAACACACACACCCACATGTCCCCATTCAATTCCTTTAGCTAATTGCTCACTAATCAAGCATCTATGATTGGTTGTAATCATATATTCTAATTATTATTGTTAAGTAAGTACATGTCCAATTAATGTACATGTAGTAGTGACCAAAATAATGTCTGCTAGCTTGTTCCTTTTTCGAAACTCAAACTCTAGCTATCTAATATTCTAGTATCCCTCCAAATCAATGCATTGGCCGAATAACAGTTTCGATCTTACTTGTCCTATTAGACATGTCCTGACATGTTTTGGAGTGGATATACCGTCTAACGAGTGGGGTGGGGGCGGGATGAGTACCTGTTTTGATATGACTTTCCCTCATTCTGGATTCGTTTTATCTTCATTATATATTATATGCACATGGTACACAAATTTAGCTTTAATAAAGGTGGAATTAGGCGACAACCTCCATTGATCAGTTACTTTATGTTTATTTATCATGTCATCATCTTTCTGCTTCTCGATATTTCGGTGAAAAATTGAGTGACCCAAGTTCTTGAATTGGCCATTTCCAATCTACATCTCAAGATAAAATATCGAACTGACACAAGACAAATATAGATATCGAGATATCTGCATAACCTACTCATGTACCCATATATGCCCTGCCCATAGCCAAATTGAAGTATAGTCTTCATTCTTTAACTTCTTGCTTTTGGTTTTGTCTTGACGGTGTCAAAAATAAGTTGTGTCTAATAAATTAGTGATGAGGATAGACACAAAAAAACAGTTGAGAGGGAGGAGTGGTGCCAGTGTTTGAGTGAAGTTGGAATCAGCCTGCAAACAAATCCTTGAGAGGATAGGCTTTGTTGGTGTATGGATTCATGTTCTTGTCTGTATTCTCCAAGTATGTGGCAAGTGGAGTGGATATGTCATTTGTGCTTCGCAGACTTCCAAATCCGCATAGGCGTAGGATTTGGAATCTTCCTAAATCCAATTGAGGAGAGAGTTGTCGAGCCATGGATCGTCGTGGTAAATAGGCATCATTCAAACGATAGAAATTTTACAATTGTTGCGGTTACTTAAATCGTGTTAGTATTGGACCTTGTTGGGTCTCGTCTGATTCGTTGGATTAGGGTTTTAACCCTAAGTTTATCTATATAAGCTTAGTTATCGACTTGTGTGATAGCAAGCCGTCAAGATGTAATTCTAATAAGAGATCAGTCGTGAGCTCTTATGAGCTCACCGTGGATTAGTCTCGATCAATCAATCGATCGAGGATACCACGTAAAACTCGTTGTCCCGTGTTATTTTCAATTCCACATCATCAAATTAAATTCTACAACAATGCTATATAATATTGGTGCTATAAGGTTTTGCCTTTATGGTATAACTTAAAATTGTACATTTACGTTATGGTACAATTTCAGATTGTACCTATACTTTTTGTACAAATTCTTTTATGGTACAATTTGAACTTGTACCTTTATGCGATGGTACAACTTCAAGTTATAAAGTTGTATCATAACATAATGGTACAAATTACTTTATGGTACAACCTAAACTTATACATTCAATGTTATGGTACAACTTTAAGTTGTACATTAAAGCACCAATACTATATAGCATAGTAGAAGTGTTCTTCAAACGAAAGTCAATTCATTAATTTGAAGTTTCACATAGACTCCGCTCGACATACCATGTCATCTGCTCGACATACCATATGATCTAAGACGATGATTAATATTAAAGTCGTGATGACTTGAACATGTGATTCCTATAACAAACCTGTTAGAATTACTTTTATCATATTTAATTCCCCGTAATTCATCATCTTGCCATATTATTAAAGGTTATTGGAATACCTGAATTCAAGTCGATCGATCGCCAAAGTCTTGATGCCGAATCCGAAACGGTAATCTGGAACTGGACGGTACTCATAAAGCACGATCCATGAGATTTCGTGATCTTCCTTGACCAAACTTCCTTAGTTCCTATACGGGAGTCCTCTTATCTTCCCGATGAGGAGCAGAAGAGAGTTATGTTGGTCTTTGTGTGTTGGGTACCACAACCTCAAACTCATTTATATACTAATGACCATGGGCTCCTATAAAACCAAGTCGACAAAGTATTGAGTTTCCACCCATTCGAATGATATTGGGTTTAAGTAGTCATGATGGGTTTCATGTATTGATCACTTGGAGTTAGCCCATTAAAACCAAATAGCTAATATATGTGTTGTGAATTGATAGCCCACTTAAGATAATAAGTAAAATTCATAACAAAACGAGCTTCAATACCGTGTCATAAACCAACTAGTCCCACTAATCAACTAACAACTCGCAAAGTACTTAAGTAAATAATTAGGGGTCGTTTGCTTCATGGATTTAAAAATGAGGGTTTTGTAATTAAAAAACCCAAGGATTTATCAAGGATTTGAGGCATCATGGATTTGTAACAATCCTTTGTTTGTTGGGATGTTTTTATCATGGATTTAAAGGTGTGGGATTTACTACTTGAAGTCAAAAATTACATTACTGCCCTTTTCTATATGTTTGACATGTTTATGATATGTACACAAAACAAGGACAAAACTTCAAAATTACCTTACTATCATTTTCTATATGTTTGACATGTTTATGATATGTACACAAAACAATGACAATACATACTAATAAGCATAATGTTGCCACATGGAAAATAATAATAAACGAGAAAATTCCGTTTTAACTTTTAACGTAACATAATCAATTACCAATTCTTTGTCCTCCTTTTCAAAAGTAACATATAACAACATATATTAGAATCGTGAGAACAAAGAATTACACGTTCTATGAAAAGGTCAAAGAAAACTAGAACACAAGAAATGATATAAAAAATCTAACTCATGTTTGCACATTAATTGAACGTTTATATTATTCATTTATTGTTAATTATAATGTATAATAGTTAAATTTGAGGGCAACCTTGGAATATTAAAAGTGCATGAGGGTATATGGGTAAAATCTCATCAAGGATTTATGCCATATTCCAAGTCCCACATCAACATGTGGGATTTATAAGTCCGTGGGGTCCACGGATTTGGACCCTTAAAATCCGTGGGCCCCACGGATTTGGTCTCCAAAAAAGGTGCAAGCAAACAACGGATTGTACCTAAATTCTTGATAGTTGGTTTTTTGGTACCAAATCCATGTACCAAATCCTTGAAGCAAACGACCCCTTAGTATGTTATTCGTTTCTTCTTTTGTGTGGTTTATGGGTTTGGCGATGATTCAGTTGATATGGAAATACCTGCAGGCTGCAGCCTGCAGGTAGCATGGTGTGGCTTCCCATTCGTGGCAAGTCACAGTCCCTCTGCAGATGCCTATCTTTGGCATCAAACCTCACATCGATCTATCCACCCTTCATTATCCAAACTTCCATTCCTCTTCTCTTATCGACTTATTTTGATTCAATATGGAGACAATTTACTTTTACTGGTGAGTAATTGACAACCCATCTATCCGTCGCCTCGTGTTGTCCATGAAAATAGAGCTCATTATGTGAATCGGGCACTTACCACTTCAAGGGATCATACACAACGAGATGCTAACAAATTAACAACTGCATATAGATGGAGGCATCCAGTCCCGTTTGTGATTGTCCACTACTAAAGTTAATTAACTGACAATTAAACATAAAATGCCACAAATATCATATCGATAAATTTCTATTGTAAATGTGAGTTTTACCAAAATTTGGATTTTAAGTGAGATGAACCTAAACTTCCCAAAATGGGTATGTGGGAATTGATGGTTAGGAGAGTATTATGTATTTAAGTAGCATTATTGATAGAGGGAAAGAAAAAGGTGAGGAAGTGTAGCACCTATGAAGTTTCACAGTTGGCCTGAGTAGATGTAATCCAGACTTGTTCATTTTGAGATACCCTTTTGGCATCTTTTTATCTTTGTGAATGGCTAGGCACTCTTTTGACTAATCGTGACAAGTGTGTATGCTTTCAAAACAATTCTCACGGAGAATCTGAACAACAAATGTTGCTGTGGTGTAGTGGTTATCACGTTTGCTTTACACGCAAAAGGTCTCCAGTTCGATCCTGGGCAGCAACATTCCTTCTTATTTTTACATTGTTTTTTGACTAATCGTGACCAAGTCTGACTGTTTATAAATAAAAATGTACAGACAGTGAAAACACAAAATGTTGCTGTGGTGTAGTGGTTATCACGTTTGCTTTACACGCAAAAGGTCTCCAGTTCGATCCTGGGCAGCAACATGTTTTCTTCTTTTTACAATTTTTTTTATTAATCGTGACCAAGTGTGATTGGTTATAAAATAAGTATGCACGGACAATCAAAACATCAAATGTTGCTGTGGTGTAGTGGTTATCACGTTTGCTTTACACGCAAAAGGTCTCCAGTTCGATCCTGGGCAGCAACATTCGTTCTTTTTTTCACATTGTTTTTTCCCCCGGGATCAGTCTGCCATGTAATCTGTTCCATTGAATCATTTGAGTAAAACACAGCCATCTCCAAAAATGTTCTGTTCAGTACATTCTTCTCACCCACAACAACTAACTACATATGTTGACGAAAGGATCGACCTGCCATGTACTTTGTTCCATTTGAACAATTTAAGTGAAACACAAAGCCATCTCCATAAATATTCTGTTCAGTACATCTGTACGGTTTACAAACTAATCTTGATTTGTTGCATCCAACTAAACACATTCACAACTCCGCCTGCACCCCCTGCAACAATGGGTAATAATTAAGTTCCAGCTAGTGAAGACTTTAAATCTCTGGAATTTCTTCCATTGATTGAAGCAAATTATCATCGGCACCCACTTCGAATGATGTAATGGTTGGTGATCACATACCAGAAATGTGAAATTTGTTCAGGTGTCCTGGGGGATATTGGAAGGTACAAATGACCTCAGTTGGCAAAGACATTCAACCTTACACGAGCAGTGACTTCAGGATGAAGCTTGAGTTCAGCAACATACTCTCCAGTTTCACGAATTTCTGGAAGTGAGACGATACGCTTGTCTATATCCCTATGGGAATAAAAGAATAAGCGAGTAAGCGAAGTGCCTTCGACGTATATGGCAAAACGAGACTAGGGGATGTTTCTGTGGCCAGGCAAGAAGTTCCAGAGAGAATGTTCTTTGATGGAGAGAACAACTACAGCATGCTGCATCTATATCACGGCTAGAGAAAGCTGATACCTTTGAAGCTGTGCCTTTATGATGTCGACAAGATCTTGAGCAGTCACACTGCCAAATATCAGTTTGCCCTTTCCACCTTTGCGCTTCACCTTGAAGGCTCCAACAGTTTCAAATATCCGAGCAAGCTGCTGAGCGTCTTCTTTTACCTGTCAAAAGCAAGTAGCTGACTATATCACAGCAATTAAATGAAGACAGCACATAACTATGCTTAACATGTAAATCCAATCCTTACCCGCAGTTTCTCAGCTTCAATTCTTTCCTCCTCCATTCGCATTTCCCTGAAACATTATGAATATAAGATGCATCTCAGTTCTCTTTGTTTATGGTTAACAAATCAGGGTGGCCTGTAAATCACACAATGCATAAAAAACATATAAAGCATATGAGATATTCGTCCAATTTAGCACCTACTCGTTTACTCAAAGCTCAATGTTAATTGTAGTATCCATTCTATATGTGCAGGAACCCTTGAGGAGACTCTTCTTTTAAACAATACCTAGTATTGGTCAGCCCTATTCCGCTAGATAACGCAAGGATAACTTATAGTGAACCATGTTCTTTAAATTCGATTAGATTGTGAGTGCTCGATCAGCATGGAGATCAACAACTTCAATTCTACAATGCAATCAATTACCAGTTCAAAATTCTTACTTAAAGAACTAGAATCACCTATAATCTATCTCCCTAAGAGTCTACATTTCCTTGAATCATTTCGATCTCTGAACAACTCATTGCAAAGATATGACCACATTTGCTGTACCATACTAATGTTAGCAGAAGGATAGTGCAAGAAAATGCGAAAGTGAATTTAGAATTTGTGGAAGCTGTAGAGTTACTTGAGTAAAACAGGAGTGACAATCTGGGCCTTGCCCATGGGCAGGAGGAAGTTCCTGTAGAAGCCAGCCTTCACATCAATTAGCTGCCCCCTCTTCCCCACATACTCCACATCCTCTTTCAATATTATCTAACACAACAGAAAACCCACCAAAAAGAATACCATCACAGGAAGGCCAATTAAACAGTCTCATCTAGTCAAAACTAAGAAACAATCACAGCAATGAGAAAGAACCCAGTTCCGTATTTATGCAAGGAAATGTGTTACACCTTTCTAGTCTTCTTGGCTTTCTTCTGGGCAACGACCGGCATAGCCAATTTTCTATCTGGCATCACGGAAGCTTCATTGGTTTGGCCGGTGAAGCTGTGAAGCCAAGAGGAAGCGCTCCAGGATAGAGCAGCTGCTGCGTATGAGGACGCCATTTCCAAACGAGCACCGCGAAAAACTGCTTACAAACTGGGTCTTATCCGTTTCTCTGGAATTCCTCTCTTCACTCCAGTATCCACTCCACCAGAACCAGATGATGAAGAAGAAGAAGCAAACAGCATTTTGCAACTTGCAAGCAGGCTTTTCATGTGAAGACTGGGCCTGCAAAAAATTTAAAGCCCAGAAACATGGAGAGGCCCATGACTAGACTGGGCTCACTGACATCCACGTCATCAATCCCGCTCCACCTCTCCCAACCAATAGTATCTCTCCACCAAATTCAAATTCGCACTGAAATTAAACGCGCCCTAAATTCCCAAAAATTTCGAAAAGCCCGCTTAGCAACAAATCAATCCGGCCCGTCCATCCATCAATACCTCCATCCAACGGGGCTGGATTATCCACGTCATCAATCCGCACCGACTCAGAACCGCCAATCAGATCTCATCGCTTCCCTATTATAAATTAAAAACCCCAACCTACACGATTCTCACAATTCATCTCAATCTCTCGAAACTTCCTTTCCCTCAAACCAGCAAAGTATCTCAGAACGCATTTTCCACTTCTTTCCAACAATGGCGCCCAAGCAAGCAGAGAAGAAGCCGGCCGAGAAGAAGCCAGCAGAGAAGGCCGAGAAGGCACCGGCGGAGAAGAAGCCCAGAGCCGAGAAGAAGATCCCCAAGGAAGGAGGCGCCGCCGCCGCCGACAAGAAGAAGAAGAGGAACAAGAAGAGCGTCGAGACCTACAAGATCTACATCTTCAAGGTGCTGAAGCAGGTCCATCCGGACATCGGGATCTCGAGCAAGGCCATGGGGATCATGAACAGCTTCATCAACGATATCTTCGAGAAGCTCGCGCAGGAGTCCTCCAGGCTTGCAAGGTACAACAAGAAGCCCACCATCACTTCCCGCGAGATTCAGACCGCTGTGAGACTTGTTCTTCCCGGGGAGCTCGCCAAGCACGCCGTCTCCGAAGGAACCAAGGCGGTTACCAAGTTTACCAGCTCTTAGATTTCTCTCTGTTCAGTCAGTTGGATGGGTTTCCTTTTGATTGTAAAGATGTGCGATGTTTAGGCGACTAGTTCTGAAACTAGGTTTTCTTGATTTTGGCAGATCTGGTCTAATGTTCTGTGTAGTTTTGATCCGACTGAATTGAATTGATGCAATGAAATTACAGAGTTTCGGATTCAAAACTTGTCATGTTCATCACCATGGTGATAGTTGCAATGCTAGCAGCTTGCTGCAATTTCTTCATTCCAACTGACTTAATCACCTCCGAATGAATTTGCTCCATCTCTTTCCTCTGCATTTCTTGATCATGCCTAAATGAGAAACTGTCGAAGTAGGATTGTTGAGTTGAGTGACAGGGTCTGTGAATGTGTACAGTTACACTAAGCTCAAGTCTTCCTCCCACTACCAATTTGTGTTTCCCTCTTTCTCTTGCTACACCCTAGAATTGTCCTCCTATGGCGATATTCACTCATTCTTTCACTTAAGACAACGATGACAACAATTGTCCTTTATGCCCATTTTTCATTCACGAGAGTGACAAATGGAGGGCAATGTTTGAGTTTTTAATCTCTTGCGGAGTCGAATTTGGAGAGAGATCGATGATTCTCATTCTCGAATACAATAACTAGATGGACTTTCTAATTGTTAAGATTATTACTTCTCCGGAAGATTCTCCATTACACGAGCCATGGAGTGAAAACAACAACTTGATGTTTAGTTTGATAACAAGAGATATGTCAATCCCACGATGGCATATAACACTATATACAACACAATACGCTATCAGTGCTTGGATTGAACTCTATGAGAATTTTTCCCTAGGTAATTTCGTTTGTATTGCTATGAGAATTTTTCCTTATGTCAATCACAACAAGGTACTCTCAGATTCTCCATTACACGAGCCATGAGAATTTTTCCCTATGTCAATCGCAACAAGGTACTCTCAGCGTTCACCAACTTATACAATAGAGAGATTTTGGATTAACAAGGAAATTAAGTCATTCCGGATTGTGATTATGGTTATGTTTGCTCATGCATCCTAACACCGCTGAGGAAGAATTATATGAATGATAAAGTCATTATGTTCCTTAGAAACCTCAACAACAACTTTAATGGCCTTTGCTCAATAGTCATGTTGCTAAATCTTCTTCCACCAATTAACAAAGGTGATATGATCCCAAATCAACCCTTACCCTCAAATCCATTGTCTGTCAAAGAATCAACCCATGTTGGAAGGAAGAAGGGTCAAATTTGGCTAAGTGTTCGGATTGTTTCATTGTGTTTACTTTGCAGGTTTATATCTTACATCCAGGTTGATGGAAATACAAGGGAAGGGTTGGGATTTGAATTTCAAGTGCTTTTCTACGTGATTGAAGTCTTGGTTGAGCAAGAACGAGCCATTGAAGCCACCTTCCCGATGCCTCAAATGCTATGTTGAAAGTAGGCGTGTTCAAATGGTTCCAGCGATGAGAGCTGCTTCGTATCGATTGAAAATCACCTCAATCCTGGCCGAGCTTTGACCTAAACCAATCGAGCCTTTTCCCAAGTGTGAAGTTGTACCTTTGGTCCGCTTTTCATATTAAGTTTGTTCAAGTTGGTTTGACCTGCGTACTTTGGTTCAAACAAGCACAAGGGTGCCCGTATTAAATGGTGTTTGCAATGATTATCCAACATTAACATGAAAAAGGCCTTCTACCTCAACCTGCCAATATCCAGAAACCCAAGTTACCCAACACCGCCTTTTATTTTATGGCTTTCTTTGCTAAAGTGTTCAAGGTGTTGGAAATGGTTTCAAGAAACAAGGCAAGAAGCATGTTTGCACATTTTGTGGTTATACATGTCATAATGAAGAAGTGTGATATAAGAAGAATGGCTACCCTCTTGGATATCAATCAAAGAAGAAGAATCAATGTGGCCAAGCTAATAGTGTGTAAATTGAACATATGATTCTACTTAACGTATTATATATAGTTGCCACTACTATTGGAACTATCCACTACTATTGCCACTACACACTTTGACCTAAACCAATCGTGCCTCTTTCCAAGTGTGAAGTTGCACCTTTGGTCCGTTTTTCATATTAAGTTTGCTCAAGTTGGTTTGACTTGCGTACTTTGGTTCAAACAAGCACAAGGGTGCTCGTATTAAATGGTGTTTGCAATGATTATCCAACATTAACATGAAAAAGGCCTTCTACCTCAACCTTCCAATATCAAGAAACCCAAATTACCCAACACCGCCTTTTATTCTATGGCTTTCTTTGCTAAGGTGTTCAAGGTGCTGTAAATGGTTTCAAGAAACAAGACAAGAAGCATGTTTGCACATTTTGTGGTTATACATGTCATAATGAAGAAGTGTGATATAAGAAAAATGGCTACCCTCTTGGATATCAATCGAAGAAGAAGAATCAATGTGGCCAAGCTAATAGTGTGTAAATTGAACACATGATTCTACTTAACGTATTATATATAGTTGCCACTACTATTGGAACTATCCAATATTCTCTACATATAATTCTACATAATGGTCTTTGTCAAACTCAAGCAGCATTTGAGTTGATTCATTTCGATATATGGAGGATAAAGTTTGTGTAGCTTCTCTCTAAATAATCGTTAGTATTTTATGAAAATTATAGTTGAATATACCAGGTATACCAAGCTTCTTTTATGAAATCTAAATCAGATACTCGTTTTATAATTTCAAATTTATTATCTTTATGCATATACATATTTTTAAAACTAAACAAATAGTAATATAACCATCAACGGATTAGTGTTCCATATGACAAAATTATACCAGCAACAAGGCACATTACATCAAAATCACTGGTATTTATACATAAAAAAATGAAATTGTTGAGAAGAAAAAAAAAAAAACATTACCACCTTCTTGTTCTGATAAGAGCTTTACTTTTTTTTATACTAATATTCCAAATCGTTTTCTGACATTTTGCTGTCATGCATTCACACATTTGCTCAACAGATCTCCAACTGATTTATCACAAAACAAAATTACATTAGAAAAACTATGTAAACAACCTCATATAGTCCTACTCTTTCTGTCTTTCATGCCTAAAAAAAACATTTGAATGGCTATCTTATTATGCTTCAACTATTCAAGCTACAAGGTACAAAAGTTTGTTTTTGGAAGAAAAGCTAGGTAAACTTGGACGGGCTGGTCTTTTAATTATTGATCGATCTAGTTGGGCTTCATGTTTCCAAAAGCCCACCTAACATCCCATCTATCTTTCCCTTTAATCCAACGGCTCAAATTATCCGCGTAACCGATCCGGACCAACCACCGCCAGCCAATAAAATACACACACCGTGGAAATTTCGAAATACCCACCGAAAATAATCGCGCCCCAACTCCCAAAAGCTTAAAAATCCCGCTCAACATCAAGACTCAATCCTCCCCGTCCATCTATCCCCTCTTCCATCCAACGGTTCCAAAAGTCCAAGTCATCGATCCACACCGATTCACGAACAGCCAATCAGATCACACCCTTTCACCCTAATAAATAAGAAACCAATCCTTCACCAATCTCTCACCAACTTCCCCTTCCTCTTTCAATTCTCTCAAAGCCACCAAGAAAGCTCGAAACTTCTTTACATCTTCAATCCAACAATGGCGCCAAAGCAGCAAGCAGAGAAGAAGCCGGCCGAGAAGAAGCCAGCGGAGAAGGCCGAGAAGGCCCCCGCGGAGAAGAAGCCCAGAGCCGAGAAGAAGATCCCAAAGGAAGGAGGCGCCGCAGCCGCCGACAAGAAGAAGAAGAGGAACAAGAAGAGCGTCGAGACCTACAAGATCTACATCTTCAAGGTGCTGAAGCAGGTGCACCCTGACATCGGGATCTCCAGCAAGGCCATGGGGATCATGAACAGCTTCATCAACGACATCTTCGAGAAGCTCGCTCAGGAGTCCTCCAGGCTTGCAAGGTACAACAAGAAGCCCACCATCACTTCCCGCGAGATTCAGACCGCTGTGAGACTTGTTCTTCCCGGCGAGCTCGCCAAGCACGCAGTCTCTGAAGGAACCAAGGCGGTTACCAAGTTCACTAGTTCTTAGATTTGCTCTTTATGGGATTATTAGGGATTTGAAGCAGTATGTTTTGCTTTTGGTGGATCGTCAGTTTTAGGGTTTCCTTGATTGTAAATCAGCTCGGAATGTTTAGGATATTAGTAGTTCTAATTTCGGATTCTCCTGTTTGTGCCAATCTCCTGTAATTTTGGGCAGTTTCGTCTATGGTAATGTAATGACAGAAGTTCTTCGTTCAGAGATTGCTATGACATTATCATACATTGCTTACAGTTTTATAATGAGTATCGGGTTGGGTTCTATACAAGTTTGTTTGTAAGAAAAGTAAAGTGATGTCTAAATTTCTCTAATTTGCAACTCGTGGAAAAGCTTCATCTCATGTTACATTCTTCCAAAGGCAAAAACTTTTAAGATCTAATCTATCTCAGCATGTACATAATCGACGAACACGAAGTTCTTCTCCCACTGGTTGAGTAGATAAGCAGCAGCTGCGCATGTCAAACCCAAGCCAGCAAGCAGGACCCGGAACTGAATCTCAGAAGGAATGCCAGCAGTTCCACAGAATGCAACAGTCATGGCGATTAGTATCTTCTGCAATGTTTGGAATGTTGAGTATGCCTTTTTGCAGGATGAGCATTTCATGGTGTGCTGCTCAAATCTATCCAGCATCTGCAAGGAGTAGGACAGAGTAAGTAATTCGTCCAAATTGCATAAAATGGAAGGTTGCGAAGGAGAGTGTTGAGACTTGAGATGCTCTGCTTTCAAAATGTCATTGTCATACCTCACGTTTGGAGAGAACTGTGGAGGGCAGAGGCTGTTGGGAAGGTGTAGAACTGAACCATTCTGGTTCACCATGGCGCCTCAGCCAGTTGCGGAATGCTAAGACGAATCGATCAGCTTGAGTGGGTGTGAATGTGAATTTGGTGTACTGCTTGTTTACATCTTCAGATCCTTCTTGTAGTGACTGGAAGACCTTCTCTTGACCTTGAAGGACAATCATGTCTCCATCGTATACCTTATTCGATGTCCAATGCTCTTGCCATCTCGGAACTACCTGCCACCATGCTGGCCCAGGCATGGAGAATTGGAAGAAGTTTCGAGCACTGCAAACGATTGAGCGAGTCTTCCCTGGTGCCATTGGCACATTGAAGGAGCATATCCATATCACCCAATTCTGATCTCCAACGAAAGGAAGTTTTGTGTCTATCTCCACTCTGTCAAATCCAGCAAGTGCATAAAACATTGATGTCTAAACCATCTTGAAAGAAAGGGAGATCCTGAAAGCATCAATCATTACCAGGTCCTATGCAGGTATTGAACTTCTATACTGGACCAGCAAATTTAGAGCTGATATTTCATTTCATGAGACTTACTTGTTCAAATAATAACAGGGTGCAATGAACTTCGCGGTGATCCTCGGGTTACCTTCATTTGCCCCAGCAAATCCCCAGGACCCCTTGGATTCCAGTTTAAATGGCAATGGCTTGGCTCTATCTCTCCTTCCAGTCACCTGCCATCCATAACTGTTACATATTCTTCCAACAATAACTAGTCTAAAGCTCCAACAGGACGCACATGAACGTTACTATTTCGTACCTTATGATGAGCAAAATCAATGTGGGAAGGATCAGAAACATTCTCCATCAAGGTATCATACCCATAATACAGATCTCTCTGAATCGTCACTGACGAGAATTCAGGCTTATCAAAGTCATCAGGCAACCTAAGCATACAAACAGGAAACAAACCCTGGGATTATGATTCAATTGCAGTAGCTTCCAGTTAGGAAAATATCAGATGAAGATGAATTACATTGGGGGTTTGGCCGATTTAGCTCTCTCCCAGCCATTCTCATCAGGCCAAACGAAGAGCAAGCCTTGAGAGACCAAAGTAGGGAATCTAGTAGCACAAGCCCTTGGAGATCTCACCGCACGAGCTTCAGGACCTTCTGGCATCGCCTGTGGAATCCTTGTGCAAGATCCACAGCCGTTGAATGACCATCCATGGTATGAACATTGCAAGTGCCCATTTTCGTCGATCCTGCCTTCCTGTCAAATCAAAGCAAACAGGCCAAACTTCAAGAGCTAACCCCTTTCTGCTAATGAAGTATCCATCCTAAACTTGGGCAACTCAATAATTCAGGAGTTCTAAGTTCTCACAGCAAACATATCTATTGAAATGTCCAGACCAGCAAAACGTAATACTGAATCGACGAACTTACAGATAGAGGAGCAAGCCTGTGAGGGCACTTATCATCAAAAGCGACCCATTCCTCGTTAGCGCGGTCGAACCAGAGGACCAAGTCTCGACCCAGAAGCTGGAAAGGGGTAGGCAACGCAGGGTCCAAATCTTCGATCAGAGAAACTGGGTACCAATGATCCCTCCAGACGAACTTCCCATCATCACCATCTTCTCCAACTTCCTCTTCAACTCCGTAATCTCCTTCTCCATGCTTCTCTTCCTTTTCTTCTTCCCGCTGTACAGATGGAGAAGCAGGCGCGGCGACGCGAAGAGGAGATACGAAGCGATGATGGGGTTTGTTGGGCAGCTTCCTCGCTGCGTTTGAGCTTCTGGCGGGCAAAAAGATCGAAGCTTTAAAAGAGGACGTTGGCAGTGCTGTAGTAGGGAATTTGGTCGAGCATGTGGTGGACACGAGAAGCGCCATAATTAAGTATTATCTGGGCTGGGTTTGTTTGCTCTATGAAGGGTTTGTTTATTCCAGGAGATGGAAGGAATGGCGTGCAAGTTTTGGCAATGGTTGTTCAAGGAAATCTTCGTCAGTTGAAAGTGAAAGCACTCGGCTTTTTCTTCATTTCAAAGTTCCTTCTACTCCTCTCTTCTTTTTGCCAAGTAATGATGCACGAAGGTTGGACAAAATTTAACCGACAAGATGTGATGAAGATTTACTAACGGTGACAACGTGGCAACAATAAGAGCCGCACATTTTGGCCGGCCGGAAGCCACCGTCCGGCGAGCGGCCATACACCCGGGGGATTTGACCAGCCACGTGGCTGGAAGACACGAAGAGAATTCTGGAGAAGGCCAAGTAAGAACGCCAGCTGCCGCTTTCCCCTTCCTCTTTTTTGCTTTCTCTTCTCACTTGCTATGTTCAAACTTCGCCACTGAAGTTTGGATAATGAAATCAGCGAGTAAAGATGTGGACTTTAGTTGCTGTGTATTGGTTTCTAGCTTTCCTGGTTCAAGTAAATGAAGCTGAGGTCCACAACACAAATGATCACTATAGAATCTAAGCAATGGAGTAAAGGACAAGCCAAATTTGCTGGTCAGCACCATCCATACAAAGGCATTACATTTGACTGAAATCGCCATGGAAATGGTAGCTTAACAACACTGAATTGCTTCTAATAACCAATCCTTCAATTCTACATTGACAAAGCAGAAATGGCCACATTCAGGAAGGCAAAAGCACTGAACTTAACAAGCCAATCATGTTGAGATGAGATGAGATTAAGAGAATGGACCGAATGCTGTTTCATTGATCCCTCTTCTGTTCTCTCTATAACACCTCCTCAAGCTATTATCGAGTGCTGCATCAAATTCACTCATGGCTACTGCACAATCCATACACTAAGCCAGCAAATGATGGAATGCTCGATGATGTCATGACAAAAATCATTTCTTTGGGTAGCTCTGGAAATCCGGTCCGATATCACGGGAACCAGTGTTGACGTAAGGCCCTCGGAAAGTGGCTTGCGGCGGCAATGGCTTCGACGAGTCGATCACTGGCTTACTCTTCCCTGCCCTGCATCACAAGAAAGTAAGAAAAAAACCCATCATGGTAAAACCACAACTAGAAATCCCCGGAGGCAGAAATGGCGGTGGAGATAAAGGATCCAAAGCGAACTCACGCCATGTAGAAGGGGAACGCCATCCCAGCACCAGCAAAGGCCAGTAATCCACCTGCAACAACGAGATTGCGAGCGCGAGACATCGAAGAAAAGGGGTAAATTCAGGGTGACGGAGTGACCTGCGAGAAGATCCAATCGAACAAAGAATTACAAGGATTAGCAGAAATCCCGACCGGGAATCAAATCCCCCACTGATTTCAATTCAGGGGCTTCACTCGCCCGGTGAATTTCATAGCTCAAAAATGAAAAACCCTAACAAAAGGGGGGGAAAAGTAAGATGAGCTGAAGAGATTCTCGTCGTGACGTCTCACCTGGAAGGAGTGGCAGATCGGTCGAATTCTGAGCAACTGAGTCGGGTGCGGCCGAGTCGATGAGTCGAGTTGGTTGTTGGTTCGTTCTAGCAGAAGCAGTCGCGGCGGGAGAGTGAGGACGACGATGATGATGGTATTGCTTCTCGAGCTTTCTGCGACCGACAGTGAAGCAAGCAAGCAACCGACGGCGACGGCGGGTCCGGTGGTGAATAACAATAGTTGGGCTTTTTCAGGAAGTTACACTGGTTTGAGCCTTAACGTATCTTGTGGCCCACTTATTATCGACGTGCTATTTTCTTATAGTGTAAATAGCTCAAATGTCGCTCGAACATTGCACAAATTGGATCAGAAGAATGTGGAACGGTGGAGCATGTAGGCTGATTGCCTCGTCAATTAATCAGGTCAGATGCTATAGCAACTTACAGGATTTTCAGGCAAATGTGATTCTAGAGAGTGGGGATTTCTCGAGCCATCGAGGATCAAAATCAGGATGGGAAATTAATCGACGAGGTTCACAGTTGTTGCAAATTGTTATAGTAGCAAACCGCAACTGTGACAGTTGTGGGATTCGACCTAGAACGAGCGAGGTACTGTAACCGCCTCACCGGCTCTTAGTCAAGTCTCGACGAATTGGAGCTATGGCGATTGTCTATTGATCCAGAAGATGTATCGACTACGCATGCGAGAGACACGAATCGTTTATGACCAGGCTGCCAATGGACATAAGCCCTAGACATAAGCCGATAGTCCATCTTCTCATTCATGAATTGTCAAAGAGAGAAATAGTAGTATGCAACCTAGTTACAGTTGGCTGTTATCACTTATCAGTATCGCAGCTACTGATAAAACGAGAACCGGCAAAACGAGGACCTGGACAACATAAATCTTGCAAACAACAGATAATTTGGAATTGCCAAATGCCAACACTGTGAAAAGCAAACAAGACGTAAGATCGAGAACTACAAATGTAAACACTCGGATGAAAATACGCACTCAAACCCATATCAGCATTCGACCACAAATTCATGACAATCGTAGAACCACACGGGCACAGAACATGAACATCTACTAGACGTTCGACAAAACGAAGAGCCCAGAAATCCTCAGTTCATTAGGGTGGGTTTACACAGAATAAACCACTAGAGAGAGAGAGGGACTATGTAAATGCTTCAGTAGTATTATATGGCAGCATCAGACTTTGGAAATGCACAGTTGCACTTTGAGTTTAAGCAACCATGGTCTGCTGGGCTTGAGCCTCCTGTTGCTGCTGATAGTTGAGAGGCCTCCTGAACAGCATGATGTGTGGCTCTGGTCGATGGATGGCGTAGTGAACCCATCCACGGCTCTGCTGCACACCAATTGCGCGCCACTCGTTCTGCACATCGGAAGACAAGCACTTCATTTCGCTTCAATTCATGCAAGAGACTGAAATCAAGACCTAATTTCAATAGTCCAGGTTTAAGCCCTTCACCATAAGACAAAAGGGGCAGCACTTAACCACGACACAAAGCATCATGCAAATGGAAAGGGCACACAAACGCACCAAGATTTACTTCACTGGAGTCGCTACTACTGCTTCTAGCCAGTCCATTTTGACGCATACGACATAAAGCAGTTGCCATACTATACTAGCTTCGGAACTGAGATTTGAATCCAGGATTTCGAATCTAGGAGTGGTTCAAACCTAAATCAGCAAGGCTGCTCTCTCTTAACCTAGCTAACAACTGCAACGTAACATCCAAACAGCAAGGGGGACCCAATCAGAAGAGGCAAGCTATAGGAAACCCTAATTCTTCAATTACCTCAGAGAGAAGGCGATTCTTGGGGAGCAGCTTGGCCACTTCAGGAGGAAGGACGACGTGCCTGCTCAGTAGACATAGAAATCCAAGATAAGCAACAGAGAGAGAGAGAGAGACAGAGCACGAATCTTGAACTCGGAAGAAACACAGCCAGCACGAAAGAGCGAAGCGACAGCGGAAATGAACCGCGTCGGCGGCGGAATCTACGCACCTGTACTCGTAAGTGTCATCGAAATACTTCTCGGAGTACTGGATCTGCCCCATCTCGTCGCTAGCGCAAGGATTTCCCGCTGAATCAAGAACACCGGCGCCAACAGATTCTCGAACTGCGTTAAAATCAAGCAGAGATGATGAGAAATCAGGAAATGGAACCGAAGAAGTACAAAGTATACATGCGAGACGATTCAATTCTCTTCCAAGCTGCCAATGGAGGAATTACAGGAAGAAGAGCGGAACGAGGAGGAGGTCAGAAGTTCGTACCTGCGACTTCAAGGGGTAGAGAGAGAACGGTTGCGGAGGGAGCAGACTGCAGAGGGTTACAGACTTCAGAATCGGAGCGCCTACTGACACGAGCGAGCGAGCGAGCGAGAGATGAGTGATAAAGAAATGAGGGTTTTTCTTATTTATTCGTGTTATTTATTCTTTCGTCACAACGGTGGTTTCTTTTTTACGCATTTGAATTTCAAATTTCCAAATAAATTTTTTCCTCCCGCCTTCTCCCTTGCTATATTTGATATTACAAGTCACCATTATCGTACGACGTACTCTTGCATCTTTTTGAAGAATTGAAAATCTCTAGAATGTTCCAATTTATTTACAGTTTAATCCGTATTTACCAATGCATGCCCGGGTAATAGAAAATGTGGCTAACTTTTTTTTTTTTACGAAACGATCACTTACATTAACAAGAAAACCAAGTTACATATGACCAAGCTCCAATCGGAGTCAAGCATGAAAATCAAACACATTACAACCCGTAGGAAACAAAGACAGGGCTTTCTGAGCCACCAGATGGGCTACCCAATTGTTCTCCCTACCCACAAACATGATCCGGAACCCTGGCACTGCCGAAAGGAGATGACGAATTTCCTCAAAAATGGCCCCCCCAGAAGCATCAGCAACACCCCCAGCGGTGACCTTATCAATAACCACCTTCGCATCTCCCTCCAGCAATACCGTCTCCAATCCCCAGCGCTGGCACCACCTGATGGCATCCCGAAGCGTAGAAAATGTGGCTAACTATCAAGTAGCAACTCAATTTTTATAACGTTGTTTTTAGAAAACTAAATATATAAACATCGCGTTGATGAACTCTTGTGACGAAAAGATCAAACTTTGTTACGTAATCGGCAATACCAAAAATTAATTGAGCTTAATTTTGCAATGAACAATTTAAGCGTGGCCATAAGTTTTCACGTAGACTTCTATTGATGTATGATGATCATTGAAACTGGAGTGACAGAGGTACAAAACTGTTCATCTTAATACGAAGAGACAAAAGCTAAAGACGGAGATCCAGATTTTCCGTTAAACATGTCAAAACTTCCATTTGGGTCCCAGCTGTAGTTACTTTTTACTAATTAGTGCCTGTACTTTCTGTTTTCTACATTACCATCCATCTTCCTTAATACTATCAAGCTTAGCTGACTACTGATCACTAAAAACCTACTGGTTAGCTCTTGCTTTCCCCTTTCTATATTTCTACACAAAAAAGAATGGAGGCAAAATTCCCCTCCTACTGTCAACTTCTACAGTTCTCTCTGTATCCATATACGAATCCTGCCTCCCAACCTTCCCTGGACCAGAAGGAAGGAAGGTACAGCAAGGAAAACTAGGAAAGAAAACCGATTCTGTACACTACGAAGCTGTCCGAAAAAAAGTTGCATTCCCCAGATCAAAATCTAGAGACCTTAGGCTCTTGCATTGCATCAGCCGCCTTCAGACTTGCCGACGATTCTGCAGTTGGGAACTGGTTTCTGCAGCATTGATGTGCCTTGAAATACCATCATCTGATAATCCTTCCTGAACTTTACCACCTGCAAATGTTTAGCATGCGCGAGGGGGGTCATACTCTACTACAAGATCTTGAGAGTCGAGCAAATAACAAGGGCAGCATGGTGTTATATAGGGTACCTCGTCCTGAGTCATCTTAGTGAAACCGAATTTGTTCATCCAGATGGATTCGGCTTCTTCGGCTGCAGGGAGTATGAAATTCTTCACATGGAGGGATCCAAGGAGTTTCTCGAGACAATCATACAAAGCTTGGAAATAACCCTGGAAATTTAGCGAAAAGCCCAAGGTAATGTATATTAGAACAGGTAACCGCAATTTAAGAAAGACAAAATGGAGTACATTGGAGAAACACCATGTTCGCGAACAAAATCTTCATACTAGAATTAGCTAAATCCAAATTACCCGTCCTTGGAACTGGCTACTGGTTGCAACCAAAGGAAGTTCAGCCAGCTCTTGCCCAAACACCCTGATTATAGCAGCAGACACAACCACATTGCTGCAGAAGCAAGAACCAAATGTCAAATACAGAAAGGAGAAGTGATATTCAAAACTGTACTACAATAAACCATGATGCATATCTTACTCGACTAGCAGCACGGCACAATACATGCCACCAAGTTCCTGGCCTTTGATGTTCCTTCTGGTAGAAAGCAATTAAGATTGTCATTAACACTTGGATTTAACAAAATCTTGAGAAGGATAACTAAATACAAGAAGAAAATTTTAAACAAATAAGTAAAACTATGGACAACATGAACATTCAAGAATATAGTTGCTTACCCATAGACCATAGAAGGGATGAGGTCGCGGTTTCCTTGGCGGCTAGACGTCTCGACGACAATAGGATCAAAGCGTTCCTAATCCCAAAACACATAATTGCAGTTTTAACCACCTCGTCTTGAATACTTAAGAATAAACATAATTTACAAAATCCAATAGAGCAGTGAAGGTATGATACATTCTTTAAAAGTAGCATAGTAACGGGAAATATTATTAGTACTGTCATTAGGAAAAGCATAATCAGTGAATATCCTTGCAACTCACATGGAAGATAGTGACCGCATCAGAGAGTAAGCTTCCACTGTCTGCAGATGAATCTACTCTTTCATTAAGAAGCCTCCATTTCAAATCAACCCTTTCCTCGTTATTTACACCGTCAACCTGATGTTTTTGCTTTACAACGTCTAGACAAGAACCAGTAAGCTTCTCTTCCCCTCGAGCAACCAAAGCTTGCAAAGCAGAGTGAATTTTATCACATTCTATGCAACAAAACCAATCTCCTTCAGGTAACCCCTGTTGGACAACAACTTGCTAATGTCAGATAAACACTAAAGTGAGAGACAAGCAATGAGAGAACATGGTATCATTATAGTTACCTTCAGATCTTGCATGTTGTTATCCCTTAAGCAGCCAACATGGAACTCTTTCTCACACTGAAGAAAAAATGTCCCCAAGGAAAGTGCAGATATTAGGGTATGAAGCAAAAAGATATAAATGGTAGGCAATTAGTAGCTACTGCAGGCATAATTTCAAAGGAATGTACCTGATCACAAAGTATGACTGTGCGTGGACCAAATGACTTGTCAAAATCATGTTCTCTGCAAAAGTAACATGTATAAAAATGTTCTGCTAAGGCTACATTTAGAGGAAATCAAAGCAAAGAAGAACAAATGAAGCAGCAACCAATGCACCGAAAGAAAAGAAAAGAAAAGAAAAGAAAAAGACAGCTTTGGAAAGGCCAAGCTGAAGAATATAGCAAATCCAGGATTGAGAATCAAGCACTCTACACTGGGCCTAACATAAAGGGAAATGTATACTACGAAAAATTATACTTTTAATACACAATGGAGGGATGGGGCTAACCTGCAGAAGAAACATCCCCCATAATCAGTATCCAAAGTTTTGACAATACGAATACATCTCTTGTTTATCTCTTCTATAGGATCCACCCCTGCAACCCTGCCTGCAGCTATTGCATTTGCATTACGCTCCCCAAACTTTTCATTCTGGTTGTTCACACAGAATTTGCAGTACCATTTATCATTAGGAACGCTCGGCAGCAATAGGCACTCTGCAAATGTTAACATGATATAAACATTAATAATAAGACAAACTAATATAGAGCCACAGAGAAAGTGAACCCAACTTGGTGAACAAACCAAATTACTCCACTTACCTAACTAATAACTATCATATTAATGTCAGCATAAACAGCATACCACCAAACTAGACATTATGATAGTTTAAATGGAAATGGACAGTCTCCTTGACTAGCATCAATATCTTTAATACAACATGCATAATCCTTCACACAAAGTATTACGTAAAACTACTTCTATATATGAGCAACAAGCTCAATATCTCTTACTGAGGCAAAGATGCATTGGAAACTATGAGATGTAATCATAGAGCAAAGGATTAGCCTTGAATCTTGAATTTTACAGTTTCAATTTACTAATCGGATGCACAAGTTAACAATATAACCAGAGTGCTACATTTCTTGTGTTCGTAATAATGGTCTTTCAAAAGCTTACTCCAGAATGGAAAGACTATATCCTGGACGAACACCTTAGACAATGAGAGCGGACCGGTATGTGAAGTAATCAAACAGAAACACACTTACCTTTGTGAAAAGATCTTGGGCACCCATCACAACATACAAGATCACCACCATCTTTGCAGATCTGGCAAAGGTCATCATTCTCATGTGTAGAGAACTTCCCACATTTGGCAAGAGAAACTGACAGCTCGTGAAGAGACACACCATTTGATGTATAAATGTGCAAATAACTGCACACAACAAAAAAGAAAGAATAATAGTATCAGTTTCATTTTCATCAAAGATTTCTGCAGGATTTTTTTATGTCAGTTCATTAGAGTTCTCAAAACTGTAGCGTTATGATTCTTCTGGCTTCTGAGTCTAATATATAGGATATGATGATCCCAATAAAAATTCAGGACATAAATACTCACGGTTTCCGACGTGATGCCCAACCAGCATGAGCTTCAAACTGAGATGGGCTAACCTGCCCATTGAATTTCAAATGAAAAAGATCTTCAGTGCTGCACCACATACACTAGACAATTATTACATAAGGATAAAGATGTTTACCTCAGTGTCGCAGCAAGAACAAAATATTCCAAACCCTTTCTTATAGCCCACAAGCAATTTCTGCACAGACAGATGAATTACTAATAAGAAAAGGCGAATTGTATGATAAATCAAATTGTGGCAATGTAAGATGTAGGCACCTAACCTGTCCACGAGAATAATATGCAACTTCAGTTCCATCAGGCAACACGTCTTCCTCAAAAACTAACTTGTGCAACCGTAGGTCCCTGCAAAAAGATTGACCAGAAGATATACATAAACTAGGTCCAGACCAAAAGCCAAAAGATAAAGACAGAATCCAATCCTTATTCCATTGCTAGGCCAAATATTCAAGTTAAACCCAGGACATGAAGTATTGAACTACTAACTTTTTGGTTAGTCTGCCCAGGCTCTTGCTTTGTGATATTGAGGCCTTTGGCACACTGTCGAATGTCCTTCGGACTAAAAGTGGTTCAGGAGACCTGCGA